CCTGGCCTGGCTTCATTGCCCACAGGTGCGGCCAGGTACCTCTCCTAAATTACACAAACCGTGGCAAGGTCCGGTCCGCCTCATTGAGGTTCCCAACCCACAGTCGGCGCGTGTTCAGGTTGGTTCGCGGCGCTGGTTCGTGCATACATCCCGGTTGAAGCCATTCATTGCCCCGCGGCCGGATGCGTCATCTCCCGAAGTTGCCTTGCCGGGGTCTGTTGCTGCCGACTCGCCCTTGCCTGTGTCTGCTGACCTTGCGAGAGCGCCTGTCGTACCCTTCACAGACAAGCCGGCCGTGACGCAGCAGGAAGGAGGACGTTCCGCTCGTGGGATGCCGACCGGAGCCGCGGAACCAACGGGACCTGCAGCTCTTCCTATCCCTCCGCGGACGCGATTACGGGATGTTTCTGGGCGCGACCGGGACAGTGGCGGGCCTCCAATGGCGACGGATGAACTCACTCCCGTCGCCCTTAAAACCCTTCCACGTTCCCGCTCGGCGGGTGGGCTGCCGACCGTCCGGGACGGCCCGGCCACCCGTACTCGCTCGAAATCCCTCACGTTTCGTTAAAATTGTATTGTGTTGTGTTCTTGTTATATTGTTGTTGCATGCTTTGTGTCTTTTTACGTGTTGGCCCTTTACACCCGCATTTCTTGTCAGGTTGCAATTCAGCCGAGGTCGGCTGGATTTTCTTTATGGGGGAGGGTGATGTAATGCGGGCGTAAACGGCCCTCCGGAGGTGACGTCAGGAGGGGAGGAGTTAGGTCACGTGGGGGGGTGAGGGGTTAAGCTATAGAAGGAGGGGAACCGGAAGAGGATGGGGAGTGACGGGGAACCAGGAACAGAGAGAGGCCACGAAGGGCGAAGCGGAGAGTGGCGAGATCGCCACGAACACGGGGGGAGCGAGGATCGGCACCGTTGGCCAGCGGTGACCGACCCGAAGCAGCGAGGAGGCTGCAGTCAGCAGCGGGGCTGCACAGAGAGTCAGCAGCGGGGCTGCATACAGAGTCAGCAGCGGGGCTGCATACAGAGTCAGCAGCGGGTCTGCATACAGTAGGCAGCCAGAGGGTCTGCACATAGGGGTGGCAGCGAGAGTCTGCATAGGGGTAGCAGCGAGTCTGCAGGGAGGAGGTTACGGTAGATGAAGCAGAGAGTCTGCGGGAAGAGAAAGGAAGCTATAATAGCAGTCAACAGCCGGGGGCTATAAATACAGAGTTATAACAGAGTGCCGTGTGGGAGAAGACAAGCACCCAATAAAGGACACGAAGACAGAAAGAAGTGTCTGAGTCCTTTTATTACATTAAGATAACAAAAGGGGTTCCACAGGATTCCATTCTCGGCCCCCTCTTGTTCTCTCTTTATGTAAATGACTTGGGCACTGAACTGGATTATTTCAGGGTAAATCTTTTTGCAGATGACACGATACTGAGTACTGCTGGCCGCTCTCCGGATGACGTGATTGCTAAGCTCCAGAGTGATTTCAACAAACTACAACATCAGCTAGTTGCTCTTAAACTAGTCCTAAATCCTGCCAAAACCAAGGTGCTATGCTTCTCACCAGGACTAAAGTGGGAAGTTATTTTCCCCCAATTACATTCCTTAAATAATGATCAAATAGAGCAAGTCAAGATCTATAAGTATCTTGGGGTCATCCTGGATTCAAAACTGAATTTTGAAGATCACATTGATCATATTGGGAAAAAGACAAAAATTAAAATTGGTTTTCTATATCGACACAAGCACTGCTTCCCCCCTATGCTCCGTTTGGAATTGATAAAAGCTACCATACTGCCTCTACTTGATTACTGTGCATTGTGTATAAATAAGCCCCAAGTACTGTACTGAAGAAGCTTGACTCAATGTATCACTCGGCCTTAAGATTTGCATTGAACTGCCCATATAGGACTCACCACTGTGATCTCTACATTGGGTCAAACTTAACATCTCTGAATGTTCGACGGCTTGTGCACCAGATCTTATTTATTCATGATGTACTTGCAAAAAAATCCGCAGATTACCTGCTGGATCTCCTCTCTGTTTCAAAGAAAATTTTGACCTAAGATCTACACTCAATTACCAGCTTCATATTCCCCCATTGCCGTACATATACTGGAGGAAGGGCCTTTGCTATTGATGCCCCCAGGATCTGGAATGCTGTTGCCGATAAATTGAAACTTGAGTCACTACCTATGAGATCTTCACTCAAAACTGCTCTAGAGGAGTTGTACACCCCTAGCTGCCAGTGCTATTCAGTGGCCTAAAATAAAATGTTTCGCTCCGGATGATCGCTACAAAGTATGACCTGTGTTTTGATTTAGTGTGCTGATCTTAAAGGTGCATTAAACAATTATAATGCTCCGATTGATGCTCCTGCTGTTGTGGAGTGACTCATGCAGCCAGCTATGGCTGCAGGGTTTTGGTAGTACATGTTCTTTATGCCATTTATTGTGAAAATTCCGTCACAGTTCCTATGATTGCTTTTTCATTGCTTTCATGGCTTTATTTTGATGATTTCAAAAAGTGTATTGGTTTAGCCATGTTTGTTTGTTGTAGTACAGAGTTAGACTGATGGCCTTAATCTAAGTTGTCTTGTGGTTGTTGTTTTTTGACTTGTATCCCACTGGGATTTTTGCACACAGCGTTGGTGTACGGTGTTTTTTCTGCAATATTTTGCTGTCTTTTCTTGGATTTTCTGTTTGCACTTAGTCACATATTCACTTTAAGATGTTCTTTTGTTCATGTTTTTGTTTTTTGTTTGTTGCGGTTGCACCCGATTCAAGAGCCGAATGGCTAACAGGGCTACACCTAATAAATGAACTTGAACTTGAACACCACATCATCACCACGTCATCACCATGGTACCACTGTCGCATCATCACCACGCCATCACCGCGTCATCACCACGTCATCACCACGTCATCACCGCGTCATCACCGCGTCATCACCACGTCATCACCACGCCATCACCACGCCATCACCACATCATCACCACGTCATCACCACGGTACCACTGTCGCATCATCACCACGCCATCACCGCGTCATCACCACGTCATCACCACGTCATCACCACGTCATCACCACGCCATCACCGCGTCATCACCACGCCATCACCACGTCATCACCACATCATCACCACGTCATCACCACGGCACCACTGTCGCATCATCACCACGTCATCACCACGTCATCACCACGCCATCACCGCATCATCACCACGCCATCACCGCGTCATCACCACGTCATCACCACGTCATCACTGTCGCATCATCACCACGCCATCACCACGCCATCACCGCGTCATCACCGCGCCATCACCACGTCATCACCACGTTATCACCACGGTATCATTGTCGCATCATCACCACGGTATCATTGTCGCATCATCACCACGTCATCACCGTGTCATCACCACGTCATCACTGTCGCATCATCACCGCGTCATCACCACGTCATCACTGTCGCATCATCACCACGCCATCACCACGCCATCACCGCATCATCACCACGCCATCACCACGCCATCACCGCGTCATCACCACGTCATCACCACGTCATCACTGTCGCATCATCACCACGCCATCACCACGCCATCACCGCATCATCACCACGCCATCACCACGCCATCACCGCGTCATCACCACGTCATCACTGTCGCATCATCACCACGCCATCACCACGCCATCACCGCGTCATCACCGCGTCATCACCACGTCATCACCACGTCATCACTGTCGCATCATCACCACGTCATCACCACAGTATCATTGTCGCATCATCACCACGTCATCACCGTGTCATCACCGCGTCATCACCACGTCATCACCACAGCATCACATCACTGCCACATCACCCCCGCATCACCGCCGTCACATCATCTCACCGCGGTGGCAAGATGTTAACTACCTCACCTGGTATACAGGAGGTTGTGGGTTCGATCCCAACCCTGCCACCTGTTGTTTATTTGGAGTTTGTATTTCTCCCTCACTGTGATCACGTGCATTTTTATCCGGGTCCTCCGGTTTTTCCCTCCAAGCAAAAAAATATGCATTTAGAGTACAGTAGAACCTCGGAGATCGAACGCCCCAGAACTCGAACAATTCGGTGATCGAACAAACTTTTCGACCATTTTTTGCCCCGGACATCGAACAAAAATTCGGAGGTCGAACAACTGTAAAGAACCTGTTTGGGCCGAGACGCGTAGCCAGGACGATCGAGACAAAGGCGAATGACCCAGTTGACGCGTAGCTCTCACCCAGTGCAGAACCACAAAACATCGTTCAGTTAACTTTTTCGTTAATTTGATACATTTTAGTGTTTTTTCGTGTTTATCCATACAAAATGGCTCTTAAAACGGTTAGTAAAAAGGCCCTCAAGTGAATCACAGTTAGTGCTAGAAAAAAGGAAAAAGAAAGAACCCCAGAAGGGCAGTTACCCAACGTTTTTATGGAGGGAGACTCCCCTTCCAAGCAACACCGACACCTCCTCCTCCCCTCCTCACCACCTTCCACTCAAGCCATCCACTCTCCTTACTACAGGTAAAGTGAAGTTCAATGTTCATTTATTCTATTCATTATAACTGTGTATCTTGTTTTTTGTATGCTTTTATGTACTGTACTGTATTTTAACATTGTAAACTTTGTGTAAAAATGGCCCATAATAGGAGCATCCTTGGGTGGGGAACCAATTAATGCTATTTCCATTCATTCTTATGGGGAAAATTGATTCGGTGGTCGAACAAATCGGTGTTCGAACACGGTTTTGGAACGTATTAAGTTCGATCTCCAAGGTACCACTGTATTTGTCCACATGATAAGCCACTTCGTTGAGCTATTATTTGTGGCCAGAGTCACATAGCTTCGTGGGCCTTACTTGGTAAAATATACATTTTTAAATAGTTTATAGTTTATCACCTCTGCATCACCATCGTTGCACCGCCAACGTCCACTGGGGATACGAAGAGAGGGATGACGACGACGAGGGGGGGGAGGAAAGCGACCTACCTTGGCGTGGGCCTTCTTGAGAAGGGTCAACTCTTTCTCCTGCTTCTTGAGAAGCTTGAGGAATGACTGCCGGTGCAGACACGCACAAAGACAAAGAACCCCTGTATAGCCTGAGACTGTTGGAGCAAGTGCTATCAGCGAGCACATATGAAGGCCGGCACAGCACACGAGGGTGTGGGTGGCCAACGCCACGTCCGGCCGCCTTTTTCTCCCTAGTGACGATGTTTACACATCGCACCAGGTACTCATTTGAGGCTGAGTCAACCTAGGGGAGGTCCAGTACCGGTTTAGATAATCACCAGTGTTGGCTATGAGTGGGAATCGAATCCAGGTCGCCAGGTTCGTAATGCAGCGCGCTAACCACGACACTACCGCTCCCCACTGACATGCAGGCATGCATGCACGCATGCAGCGACACTCTGAGGACCTCGCCCCACATCGCCACTGCAGCAACAACGAGAGCCCCGCTATGTGCCGCCGCCGCCACGTGCCACTCGCCCAGGCGCCAGTAGCAGCAGCAGCAGCGGTAAGTCTGAACCCTTGTTGCCGCGCGCTCTCATGACGAATCCAATCCATCACGAATGTGCCGCGATGTGTGTGCAAAAATGGTTCTGGCTCAAGGATGAATCCGGAATATCTGCCGCCGGTGACACTGCCCTGACCGTATCGCCGCACGAGGTTCGTGCTACGGCAGCAGCACGATCGCCGTGGGCTGTGATTCGTAGACTAAAAACAAAAAACTAAACTTTTTTTAAACATTTACTAGGTAAGGCCCACTGAGCTGTAAAGCTCTTTTTCACAAGCGATCTGGCCACATCATAGCTCAATCAAGTGGCTTATCACGTGGACCTTTCTAGCAGCCAAATGCTCGAAACGCAAGTTGACTCTAAATGTGGAGGGATAAAACCGGAGGACCAAGAGAAAAATCCACGCGACTCCAGGCAGAGTACGCACACTACAAATATACAGCAGCAGGCGTCAGGGCCGGGATCGAACCCACAACCTCCTGTAGACCAGGTGAGATAGTTGACATCTCACCACCACGGTGTCAATCGGGTTCCGTTGCGGCTGCCGGTACACGCTGCTTGGTGAGATTGGATGGTGCGGATTGGTACAGACTCTTGTAGCTCAGCAGGCGTAGCCGATAAACATCCCTGTGTGTGTGTGTGTGCGTGATCGGTAGCCAGCGTGGCTCGTCTCGTATCGAGGTTGAGATCAGATCAAATTTCCACTTCCTATCACCAGCTACAGTGTGCGTGTGCATGTGTGCGCGCGCGTGGGTGTGCCTCGGCACCTGTGTGTGTATGCGTGCACATATGTTCGTTTGTTTTGCCCGTCAAGGGCCACATTCACGCACCTTGGAGTGTCTCAGCGTGTCCACACACACGGGAGGCACCAGGGGTTCGTCTGGGGTGGAAACAGGGAAGAGAAGGCCAAGGTCATTATCATGATTCCGCTTATTTACCCAGGAAAGACTCACTGAGTCTCAAGACTCCTGTCGTGAGCGACGATCGCATTGTTTCCCAATGACTGTACAGTAACTGGTTTGCAAATAATTTTTCGCACGGACAAACCCCTGACATATTTCTCAGTCAACCTGCGACTATCAAACTGTTGCAATATATCACGATAAAGTTCAATGCAGCAAACACAGATGCCCATTCCCGGACTGAATCGCAGCCACCACGGTATTAGCCAGGGCAGCCTGCCGGACTCTGACCGCACGCCTCCGTCACAAGCGGCGACGTCCCCGCGACCGTTTATCGGCACCGCGGGGGGTGGGGGGGTGACGTCGTGGCTGAGGAGCCGGGAGCCGTACCCTTGCTGGCCTTGCCGGGCACGGCGCCGTTTCCAGCGCTCGGAGCCGGGCGGTTCTGCGTGGCGCGGCTCTGCGTGGCGCGGCTCTGCGTGGCGCTGGTCTGGGGAGTGGCGGCGCCGCGGTTGACGCTGCCTCGGCTCTCGGGCACGTCCCCTATGTCGCTCTGAAAGGCAGAGTCCATCGGAGTGCATCTCGCTCACGCATCCCTTCACTTGGTTTAGTGGTAGCAGCAATAAAAAAAGAAGAATGAATCATCATAATCAGAATCTTTACTCGCAGATGTCCAGCATCTGCGAGTAAAGATACAACAACAAAGAATAAATTAGGCGACTGACCGCCGATGAGTGAGTGACTGGAGCGAGTGAATCATCGGTGAGTGCTGGATCCCCAATCACGCTGATGGCTGCCCAGCGCAGAATCGACCTCTATCAGGTGCAGCCGAGGTAGGGACTGCGTGCTCCACCTCAAGCCGTGACGAGCCCCCTCGACCCTGCACGAGCGTCGCACTGTTCGTTCGTCACCGGCGTGCGGCTGAGACACTCACCGCCTCAATGCCCATGGCCTGCATCTGGTTGGCGCGCTTCTCCGCCTGCGACAGGAAGCGCTTGGGGTCCGACAGCGCATCCACGAAGTCTACGGTAGCACGCGGGGACGATGGAGCAACAACGACGATGGTAACGATGACGAAGATCGGCAGCGAGCGACGGCACACGCGTGCAAACGTGCCTGCCGTTGTGCCGACTTTGGTGCGAGTGCCGTTGGCGAGTGTGGTTTAGTGCTGGAGAGTGCCGGGATTTGGGTGATTTAATGGTCGTGGGCGAGTGACGGACTGGCACGACAACAGCGGGGCCCAAATTGCCGTGCGATCCTCACTGGGTCCATTTGGGGCTGGGTCCAAAAAAACCGAATGGGGCGAGTGAAGAAGAAGCTGCTTGGCGATGGTCTTGTAGCCCATTCCAGCCTTGTGTAGGTCTACAATCTTGTCCCTGACATCCTTGGAGAGCTCTTTGGTCTTGGCCATGGTGGAGAGTTTGGAATCTGATTGATTGCTTCTGTGAACAGGTGTCTTTTATACAGGTAACAAGCTGAGATTAGGAGCACTCCCTTTAAGAGTGTACTCCTAATCTCAGCTCGTTACTTGTATAAAAGACACCTGGGAGCCAGAAATCTTTCTGATTGAGAGGGGGTCAAATACTTATTTCCCTCATTAAAATGAAAATCAATTTATAACATTTTTGACATGCGTTTTTCTTGATTTTGTTGTTGTTATTCTGTCTCTCACTGTTCAAATAAACCTACCATTAAAATTATAGGCTGATCATTTCTTTGTCAGTGGGCAAACGTACAAAATCAGCAGGGGATCAAATACTTTTTTCCCTCACTGTATAAGCAATGAAGCGTAGATATTACAGGTAATAAAATATTTTTATAAAAATAAATATTCATATCTTTACTCTAATTTGTAATTTCCCCACACGGACCAGCTCACGGGCGTTCGGAATGGACCGGCCCACCGGGTCGAAGGTGTCTGAATGTTGCTGAATGTGGTGAGCATCACTCGGACGAGCGCGGCAACTGTAGTTCGTGCTGGTGAGCATGCCGCTGTTTGGTGAGTGTGCCGAGCGCCGGTGAACTCCATTGGATCGAGCGCGGTCAGCCAATTTAGTGAGGGCGAATGGTGGCGAGTGCTGGCGAGCGCGGACCTCCGAAGCCGTCGGGGACGTAGGTCTTGAGGACGATGTTGCAGAAGACGGTGGGCAGGGACAGCGGCTTGTTGCCCTCGTTGCGCAGCGAGATGTGCCGGTAGCCCGTCTGCAGCCCGTCGAGCGGCAGGATGCGCTGCCCGATGAGCTTGTTGCTGTCGTCGAACACGGCGATCCGCAGCACCGCCAGGTCCGGCAGGATCACCTGGGGAGCCGGGGTCAACCAGGGACCTCGCAACCCGGGGCGTAGAAACCTGGCAACCAAGGACCTAGAAACTCTGCAAGCTGGGACCTAGGAATCTCAGAAAGTGTTGGTGTACGGTGCTTTTTCTGCAATATTTTGCTGTCTTTTCTTGGATTTTCTGTTTGCACATAGTCACTATAAGATGTATTCATGTTTTAGTTTTTTGTTTGTTGCGGTTGCACCCGATTCAAGAACCGAATGGCTCACAGGGCTATACCTAATACATGAAATGAACTTGAACTTGAAAGAACCTGGTAACCTGAGACATAGGAGCCACGCAAACTCGGACTTAGGAACCTCACAACCTAGAACCGAGGAACCTGGGACCTAGAAACCTCGCAACCTAGAACCTGGTAACCTGGCGGAGCGAAGCCCTCGGGCCGCGGGGGGTGCCGGGTGGCGGTGGGGTCGAACCTTCCGGAAGACGAAGGGCTCCTGGTTGTAGAGGGGGTTGAGGCCGTTGTTGGGCACCAGGCGAGTGCGGAATTCCTTGCGGATCGTGTCGGTGGGCAGCCCGTACATGTCCACCTCCACATAGGTGCCCACCTGCCGGTCGGAGAGGAACTGGCCCGAGATGACCTGCGCGTGTTCACGCAACGCGGCGCAAAGACAAAGGGTCCGCCCCCCCACCCATGTGACCTTTAAGAGACGGGTCGGTCGCTCTTGCAAACGAGATACTTCCCTGGCATCTCGAGATCTCGGCGGTGAAACCGAATGGACCTGAACGCGATGAAGAGCGCTGCGTGCCTGTGGGGCGCACCTGAACGGAGCAGGTGCCGGCGATGACTCCGTCCACGGGCGTCTCTGAGAAGGGGTCGAAGGTGCGGTCGGGGCGCCGCATGAAGTCCGGCTTGAGCAGGAACCTGCACACGCGCAGACGCGTGAGCAGGTTCCTCGACACGCACACGTCTACACACACACACACGTCTACACACACACACGTGTACACACACACACGTCTACACACACACACACGTCTACACACACACACGTCTACACACACACACGTCTACACACACACACGTCTACACACACACACGTCTACACACACATACGTCTACACACACACACACGTCTACACACACACACGTCTACACACACACACACACACACGTCTACACACACACATCTACACACACACACATCTACACATACACACACATGTCTACACACACACATCTACACACACACGTCTACATGCACACGTCTACATGTATATGTCTACACACACACATCTACACACACATACGTCTACACACACACACGTCTACACACACACATGTCTACACACACACACACGTCTATACGTACACGTCTACATGTATATGTCTACACCCGTGCGCCCGTGACACACAGACACGATGCCGTGTGCACAATATCTTTTATCGGTTGTTTGTCTCAGATCTTTTTTACGCAGTTGCTTTCGCACCGATTTCCATTTGTTTCATTGTTCTACTTTGTTTTTAGAAAAGTTTGTTTTATCCGTTAAAACTTTTGGGTCGGGATGTTAAGAGGACAGAGACTCAGGATCGCTACTTCACTGTTTAACCTGGTCGTCCTCTCTAACTGAACAGTTACAACCAGTATGAATGTGTTGGTACACAGGTGTCGGTAGGCAGGTGCGAGCGCCGTGGAGAGAGAATCTTATTTAAGTTTGCCCAAAGGCGGCGACCAGCCACTGAACTCGCTCTGAGATTCGGTCCCAGTTCATGGAACCTCACCAAGAGCACTACCAGCAGTGCCTAGTGGCACTGCTGCTGCCACGCTGTAGGCAACCTGTAAAGGTGCAGCCCTGCAACTGCTCGCTTGCACCCCTGCTGACAGAAGGGCCATCGCTAGAAGGAGCTTTACAGGGGATTTGGTCGATGCTTCCATGCTGACCAGACGCGTTGCAAGAGGTGGGCGTCCCCTCACTTTACCCCACCAACACACGCGACCGTCTGATTGATTGTGGCGTAAACCTTTACATCGCTAAATAACTATTTTTTTTATTTTACCAGGCACGGGCCACTGAGCTGTGTAGCTCTTTTTCAGAAGCAACCTGGCCACAAACGATAGCTCAAGGAAGTGGCTCATCACGAGGGAAATTTATAGCAGCCAAGAAACTGGGTGGACAGAGGCGGTGCAGGGGATTTAAGAAGCTTGCGCGATTATTTCAGCTGCCGTGCCGGGAGATAGTATTGGACCGGCACCCTGTGGATTACAAGTTCGGTGCCATGACCATGACCCCACCGCTCACACCAGCAGTGGTTTGTGGACTTTGAGAAGCCCTGAATCACTTACCCGCAGAATCCATTGTATTCGAACTTCCCCTGGTTGAGCTGCATGGCCAGATCTGGGTAGTAAGACAGAGACAGCGCCACAAGGTTCAGGTTGGTGGCGTGAGGGGTCCACAGCTGTGGTCCACACCAGACTGGCGCTGCCCTGAGCTGCTGCTGTGAAATCACCTGGCGTCTGGAAGTTGAGGGACACCATCTGGCAGCCGGCGTTCCAGAAGACCTGCGGCATGTAGTTGGAGGAATCCACGCGGCCTCCCCGGGGATAGATGCGGCTCATCTGCCGCTTGTTGTAGCTGCAGTGGTCAAGGGTCACCGTCTCGCAGGTCTGGGGCGGCTCCCCGGAGTAACCCGCGCGAGGGGAGAGAGGCCGCGCGCCCGCCCCTATCTGGTGCGGCCAGGCAGGGTGAGCCCGGCCGCCACGCGCGTGCAAGGGCTTCGCTCGGGAGTGCATGAACACGATTAGAGGGGCTGTGTAGCCGAGCCAAGTCGTGTAAGTTACAGGTGTAAAGCGTGTATCGGTGTATGTATGTTGAACTTGATAATTGTTTTTTTACCCTTCTATCTGGCAACAAAACTGACACCTTTTTTACAAGGAGTCATGTTTACATAGACCACAATACCCGCAGTCATAATGCAAACAAAAAACATAACTCTGATAATGTGCACTGTCCTTGAAGTTGATTGGTCCACACCCGAGACAGCTTTCCTTAGAGCCTAGTCTCAATTCTAGACTTGAAGCATTCGTGACTGCAAGGAATCATATTCTTAGGTGTTTTCGGTAAAGTCACGTAGGTAAAACATCAAAAATTAATAAACATAATAAAATAAAATAAAGATCACGACGTTTCGGAGGCAACACAAGTCTCCGTCATCAGGTGGGACAGTCACAGCCAGATCAGCTGCATCAAGTGAGGCAATGATTCAAGATGTAATCCCTTAAAAGCGAGTTGAGGGGGGAGGAGAGGGGGGGGGCTCATCAGAATGTGGTAGCCAATGAATGGAAAGTATCGGGAGAGAGGGGCCAAAAAAGGGTGGGCGACGGCGTGGAAGCTATTGTGCGCAAGCGACACACTGCTGCCCACGCCAACGCATTGGACAGAGAGGGGGGAGGGGGGAGGTCTGATACACATGATAGAAAAGACGAGAAAATGCGTATGTTTATACCAATGCTGGCTGAACAATGAAGAGATTACTGTTAAACACTGGGGATGTTAACACTCGGTAAAGTAAAGTAAACTAGTGCCTGTCAGATAAGATGGTCAAAAAAGTGTAATTAAGTCTTTTTGCGTGGTTAATAACATCTTTCCAATGATTACTAAGTTTGTACCCATCATCACGGTTGAAATTATGTCTGTGTTTGTATATTTGTATGGCTTCGTGTACAAACCTTTGATGGTAGCCAGGAGGTTTGCAGAGAACCTTGGTCTCGGAAAAGACAATTTCATGAGAGCCCACTGAGTTGTAGCAATGATCGGCAACGGCCGAAGAATCAGTTCTGCCGTGTTTCAGATCTGACTTGTGCTCGCGGACACGATCAGCAACATGACGTTTCGTTTCTCCAATGTAGCAATCACCACAAATGCAACTCAATTTGTAGACTCCAGGATACTGTAAGTCAGGAACAGCATTCTTCACAGATGGAATCAGATCACGGATTTTATGCACTGTACTGAATCGGACTTGGATCTTATGTTTGTTTAGAATTTTGGAGATCTTTTTGGTCACGCCTGCTATGTATGGTAACATGATAGTTTTGGTCGGAGTTTCATGTGGCTGTTTCTGTGTGGTGGGAGAGACAGCTTGGCGGATAGTACGGTCAAGGTATCCGTTCATCCTGAGGGCCCGATGTACATGTCTTAATTCACCGGTCAGGTGGTGTTGGTCAGAAATGCCATGGGCTCTGTGGTATAGCGTTTTGATGAGAGAATTCTTTTGAGATGGGTGGTGGTGGGAATCCGGTTTCAAGTAGGAATCTGTGTGGGTGGCTTTCCTGTAGACAGAATGTCCCAAGGATCCGTCAGGCCTCCTCTCAAACAGAATATCCAAGAATGGTAGTTTACCGTCTTTCTCCACTTCCATGGTGAATCTGATGGATGGGTGTCTAGAATTGATGTGGTCCAAGAAGTGGTTCAGTGCTGGGAGGCCATGTGGCCAGATGACGAAAGTGTCGTCCACATACCTCTTCCACAAGGAAGGACGCAGGGTGGATGTCTGGATGGCGTCTGATTCAAACTTTTCCATGAACATGTTGGCTATAACTGGTGACAAGGGGGAGCCCATAGGGGTACCCTCATTCTGTTTGTAGAAGGTGCCATTCCAGGTAAAATAGGTGTTGGTGAGGCAATGCCTAACCAGAGCAGGTACATCAGAATTCAATCCATGTTGGACTAAGTCCTCAATTATTGTTAGGGTGTCCGGTACTGGGACTTTGGTGAACAAAGATACTACATCAAAGCTGACGAGGATGTTATCAGGAGATAGTACCATGTCCTTAACCATAGAGACTAATTGGGTTGAGTTGAGTACTGCCGAAGAGGTCTTGCCTGTGAAGGGGAGCAGAGTATCTGATAGAAACCGGGCTAGTTTGTACGTAGGAGAGTTTATCGTCGACACGATGGGTCGTAGCGGGGTGCCTTCCTTATGGATTTTGGGAAGACCATAGAGTCTGGGAGGTCTAGCCGCCGATGGTTTTAGAGAGGGACGTTTGCTTGGTTCGATTAGGGAAGTCGAACTCGTGATGATACTGTTGGTTTTCGTCGTTAAGCTTTTAGTAGGATCGTTTTTAATTTTGGAGTAACTCCCATCATTAAGAAGGTCCAGGATTTTGTTGTTGTATGAATCTTTATCCATGATGACTGTGGCATTGCCCTTGTCTGCCGAGAGGATGACTATATCATCTCTCTTTTTTAGGTCCGCGAGTTCAGAGCGTTTGTTTTTGCTGATGTTACTAGTGGGTTTCTTAGCATTCTTAAGAATAGTAGCTATTTCAGCTCTTGCTACATCCGCATGGATGTGTCCTATGCCTCTGAGGGCTACATCAATCTGAGAAATCATATCTTCTACTGGTATATATTTAGGGGTGACGGCGAAATTTAGTCCTTTGGCCAGTACCGTTTTTAGATTGTCAGAAATTGGGATGTTACTCTGATTAATCACGGTCTTGTTAACATCCAGCTTTGCGATGTGTGGCTCTTGTTTCTTCTTAGATAGGAGGTTGAATTTAGAAATCAGGTTAGCTTTGCATTTGGCTGACATTGAGTCAGCAGAAGCAGAAGTCATGTTATCAACGTGGTTCCAGTCAGAAGGTGACATTTGTTGTGTTAACATTAAATGTGTTTGTAAGAGAGTCTTGTCTAAATTATCGAGTTCAGATCGGAGTAACCTTATTCTCTCCGAGATTAGTGATAGGCTCACTAACTTGCGAGCGAGCGCCCTCCACCCTCCGCTAACCACGACACGTGCGCGCGTACCCGTGTGCGAGCGTACCCGTGTGCGCGCGTACCCGTGTGCGCGCGTACCCGTGTACTTCTTTCGCACCGTAAACGTAGCCAACCGCGCTCATCGGAGGCACGTGGCGGGTGGTGGAGTGGACTTGGGGCCTCCATCCCACCCGCCTTTGTCTCCCCGGTGCGTGGTGCCAGTGTGCATAGGGGGGAGGATACTTGACGAGCTCGATGGCGCCGGTTTTGAGGTAGCCGAGGCCCACGGACTCGTTGAAGGAGGACATGTTGTAGTGGATGTTCCTCTCTGGTGACACACACAGCAGCACGCACCGCGGACACGGCGAGGGTGGTGAGTAGTCAGTGGTGAGGGTGGTGAGTGGTCTGTGGTGAGGGTGGTGAGTAGTCAGTGGTGAGGGTGGTTAGGGTGGTGAGTGGTCTGTGGTGAGGGTGGTGAGTGGTCAGTGGTGAGGGTGGTGAGTGGTCAGTGGTGAGGGTGGTGAGTGGTCAGTGGTGAGGGTGGTGAGTGGTCAGTGGTGAGGGTGGTGAGTGGTCAGTGGTGAGGGTGGTGAGTGGTCAGTGGTGAGAGTGGTGAGTGGTCAGTGGTGAGGGTGGTGAGTGGTCAGTGGTGAGGGTGGTGAGTGGTCAGTGGTGAGGGTGGTGAGTGGTCAGTGGTGAGGGTGGTGAGTGGTCAGTGGTGAGAGTGGTGAGTGGTCAGTGGTGAGGGTGGTGAGTGGTCAGTGGTGAGAGTGGTGAGTGGTCAGTGGTGAGGGTGGTGAGTGGTCAGTGGTGAGGGTGGTGAGTGGTCAGTGGTGAGGGTGGTGAGGGTGGTGAGGGTGGTGAGAGTGGTGAGTGGTCAGTGGTGAGAGTGGTGAGTGGTCAGTGGTGAGGGTGGTGAGGGTGGTGAGAGTGGTGAGGGTGGTGCTACCCTCTGCGACGATGAAGTTCTGGAACTTGACGGGCTGGGCGTAGTTGACCAGGGCGGAGAGGTAGGGATGGATGTTGGTGGTGCCGCCCGTGTACTTGTAGGCCGACACCCAGGCATCCTCGCTCTCCACCGCCGTGCTGTCCTGCACCGCCGCACACAGCCACACGCACTGCTGCACTCCCCTCACGCACTGCTGCACCCCCACCACGCACTGACGCACACCCACCACGCACTGCTGCACATCCACCACGCACTGCTGCACATCCACCACGCATTGACGCACATCCACCACGCACTGACGCACATCCACCACGCACTGCTACACGACCACCACGCACTGCTGCACCGCCACCACGCACTGACGCACACCCACCACGCACTGCTGCACAACCACCACGCACTGCTGCACATCCACCACGCACTGCTGCACATCCACCACGCACTGACGCACAACCACCACTCACTGCTGCACATCCACCACGCACTGACGCACAACCACCACGCACTGCTGCACAACCACCACGCACTGCTGCACACCCACCACGCACTGACGCACACCCACCACGCACTGCTGCACACCCACCACGCACTGCTGCACATCCACCACGCACTAATGCACATCCACCACGCACTGACGCACAACCACCACGCACTGCTGCACAACCACCACGCACTGACGCACATCCACCACGCACTGACGCACACCCACCACCCACTGCCAGCAACCACCACGCACTGCTGCACAACCACCACGCACTGCTGCACATCCACCACGCACTGCTGCACATCCACCACGCATTGACGCACATCCACCACGCATTGACGCACAACCACCACGCACTGCTGCACATCTACCACGCACTGCTACACAACCACCACGCATTGTTGCACATCCACCACGCACTGACGCACAACCACCACGCACTGCTGCACATCCACCACGCACTGACGCACACCCACCACGCACTGCTGCACATCCACCACGCACTGACGCACCACCACCACGCACTGCTGCACAACCACCACGCACTGACGCACATCCACCACGCACTGCTGCACATCCACCACGCACTGACGCACACCCACCACGCACTGCTGCACATCCACTACGCACTGACGCACAACCACCACGCACTGCTACACAACCACCACGCACTGCTGCCCAACCACCACACACTGCTGCACATCCACCACGCACTGACGCACAACCACCACGCACTGCTACACATCCACCACGCACTGCTGCACGACCACTACGCACTGCTGCACATCCACCACGCACTGACGCACAACCACCACGCACTGACTCACAACCACCACACACTACTGCACATCCACCACGCACTGACGCACATCCACCACGCACTGCTGCACAACCACCACGCACTGACGCACACCCACCACGCACTGACGCACACCCACCACGCACTGCTGCACGACCACCACGCACTGCTGCACATCCACCACGCACTGACGCACACCCACCACGCACTGACGCCCAACCACCACACACTGCTGCACAACCACCACGCACTGCTGCACATCCACCACGCACTGACGCACAACCACCACACACTGCTGCACATCCACCACGCACTGACGCACACCCACCACGCACTGCTGCACATCCACCACGCACTGCTGCACATCCACCACGCACTGACGCACACCCACCACGCACTGCTGCACAACCACCATGCACTGCTGCACATCCACCACGCACTGACGCACAACCACCATGCACTGCTGCACATCCACCACGCACTGCTGCACAACCACCACTCACTGACGCACACCCACCACGCACTGCTGCACAACCACCACGCACTGCTGCACATCCACCACGCACTGACGCACACCCACCACCCACTGCCAGCAACTGGCTAAGTGAGTGACTAGCAGAGTGAGTGAGTGACTGACTGAGTGACTGGCATTGTGAGTGACTGACTGACTGAGTGAGTTACTGGCAGAGTGAGTGACTGGCAGAGTGAGTAACTCGCTGAGTGAGTGACTGGCAAAGTGAGTGACTGACAGAGTGAGTAACTCGCTGAGTGAGTGACTGGCAAAGTGAGTGACTGGCCGAGTCAACGTGGATGTAATGAGGACTACAAGACACTCACCTTCTTTTGGACTGGGTCGGGTTCCTCGCCAGCCTGTGGAGGAACAGCAACAGGGGGAGTCAGAGCGATGGGGAAGCACTCGGTGTGCGGTGTCATCGTCCCCTGAGCCGTGTGCAGTGCCGGATTATCCGAGTAGCACAATTAGCTACATGTGCTGCAGTCCCGCATTTTCAAGGGTCCCGCGCTAAATGCTTTCAAGCTATCCATTCTGTTTCGATTTAAAGCTTTCGTGACTGCAGGGATTCATCTTCTTGGTTCTTTCGGTAAAGTCACGTAGAAGGGAAGTAATAAAATAATAAAAATAAAACATAATAAAACAATTCTCACGACGTTTCGGCCACAACGCAAGCAGCCGTCCTCAGGCGAAGAATGAAGCACCACCAAGCTTGGAGCGTATATTTAAGCTGGGTTAGAGGGGGGGAGGTGGGAAGAAGAGCGCCTAAACAAAATAATTTGCATATCAAGAGGAATTCAGCATATGGAAAATGCGTAGGAGGTGGGCGGGGGGGTTCCAAATCAATACTATGCCCGTGCATTATGCAGGATTAGCAGCATCAAAGGGGGGGGGGGAGGGGGTAGCATTAACAAAGGAAAGGAATGTTAATAGTATGTAGCTGCAGTTACTAAACAACCACGTAAAAAACTAAAGTATAAACTGCATAACAAACTAAAGTATAACCTACATAGCATCATCAGTATACTTACTATACTCTACAATAAGTTGAGTTACTAACAGTAAGTAATACATAAAATTTTTCTACGTTGTAAAAAATTATATAATATGCTTCCATCTAAACTTTATTCTCTTACATCACACGCGTCTATACCGTACTATATACTGCCATAGGCAAACCCAACATTAAATTACATACTGTATTGCTATAAACCACCCTATACCTTATACATTTTAATATAACACTATGTATTATTCTACCCACCCTAATGTGTATCAAAATGGTTTATTACGTCCTTCCAGTGATTGCTAAGCCAGAATCCATCTTCTCGGTTAAAATTGTCTCTGTGTTTGTATATGTGGATCGCCTCATGAACGAATCTCTCATGATAGCCAGATGGCTTGCAGAGAACCTCTGTCTTGGAGAAGTCAATGTCATGTGAGCCCACTGAGTTGTAACAGTGATCTGCCACGGCTGAGGTGTTTGTCCTACCGTGTTTCAGGTCAGCTTCATGTTCACGGATGCGGTCCGAGACATGTCGTGATGTGGATGTCCTAATCAAAAGGAGACCTGATGGTTCAATGAGCCACTCTGTCTACAGGAAAGCCACCCACACGGATGCTTATCTAAAACCGGATTCCCACCACCATCCATCCCAGAAGAATTCCCTCATCAAGACTCTATATCATAGAGCCCAATGCATCTCCGACCATGAACACATTTCCAGTGAACTCAAACACGTACGCCAAGCTCTTAAGGCTAATGGTTACTCCGACTACACAATCCGCAAAGCCATCACTCCAACCATCAAGAAGAATCCTGTTGAGGAGCCTTTCAAGACCATCACCTTACCCTACATTGCTGGGGTCACAAAAAAGATCTCCAAAATCCTGATTAAACACAAGATCCAGGTCCGATTCAACACAGTACATAAAATCCGTGATCTGGTACCGTCTGTAAAAGATGTGGTTCCAAACATACAGTACCCTGGTGTCTACAAACTAAGTTGCCTCTGTGGTAGCAGTTACATTGGGGAAACCAAACGACATGTCTCGGACCGCATCCGTGAACATAAAGCTGACCTGAAACACGGTAGGACAAACACCTCAGCCGTGGCAGATCACTGTTACAACTCAGTGGGCTCACATGACATTGACTTCTCCAAGACAGAGGTTATCTGCAAGCCATCTGGCTATCATGAGAGATTCGTTCATGAGGCGATCCACATATACAAACACAGAGACAATTTTAACCGAGAAGATGGATTCTGGCTTAGCAATCACTGGAAGGATGTAATAAACCATTTTGATACACATTAGGGTGGGTAGAATAATACATAGTGTTATATTAAAATGTATAAGGTATAGGGTGGTTTATAGCAATACAGTATGTAATTTAATGTTGGGTTTGCCTATGGCAGTATATAGTACGGTATAGACGCGTGTGATGTAAGAGAATAAAGTTTAGATGGAAGCATATTATATAATTTTTTACAACGTAGAATTTTTTTTATGTATTACTTACTGTTAGTAACTCAACTTATTGTAGAGTATAGTAAGTATACTGATGATGCTATGTAGGTTATACTTTAGTTTGTTATGCAGTTTATACTTTAGTTTTTTACGTGGTTGTTTAGTAACTGCAGCTACATACTATTAACATTCCTTTCCTTTGTTAATGCTACCCCCTCCCCCCCCCCCCTTTGATGCTGCTAATCCTGCATAATGCACGGGCATAGTATTGATTTGGAACCCCCCCCCCGCCCACCTCCTACGCATTTTCCATATGCTGAATTCCTCTTGATATGCAAATTATTTTGTTTAGGCGCTCTTCTTCCCACCTCCCCCCCTCTAACCCAGCTTAAATATACGCTCCAAGCTTGGTGGTGCTTCATTCTTCGCCTGAGGACGGCTGCTTGCGTTGTGGCCGAAACGTCGTGAGAATTGTTTTATTATGTTTTATTTTTATTATTTTATTACTTCCCTTCTACGTGACTTTACCGAAAGAACCAAGAAGAACTATCCATTCTGGTTCAGTGATTCTGCACTTGCTCTATTACTATAGTACTACACTGCCTTCAACTTTTAATAACGACTGGGTGTTTAAGGTTAGCGGTTTGTCATATTATCTGGCTGTATAGCAAATGAAACAATACAATTACTTTCCTGTGCACGTTAAACATTTATGTGTTTTAATATTTACGTGTTTTTTTTTTTTATTCAGGGCCCCTTCATAACATATGCTACAGGCCCCGCACTAGCTTCATCCGGCACTGGCCGTGTGACTGGCGGTGCAGGACGAGCGACACTCGCACTCGCGTCCATCCCTTCGCGAGTCCGATTCCACGGCGTGCGACCTGTGAGCTCTGCCCCAGCATGCGCGCGGGCGTCTTGCGGCTCCCCTCTACTCTGGAGGAGGCTCAGTGGTGGAGCGAGCGGCTCGCAATCGGAAGGTTGCCGAGTTCGACTCCTGATTGGGGATTGACTCGGCCTCCATCGTCCGTCCCGGGTCAACAAAATGAGTGCCAAGTCAACTTCCCCGCCCGGCTCGGCAGGGCTGCTCACGGCGGGAGAGGAGCAGCGCTGCCTCGGTGCTCAGCGAGCAGCGGGCGGTCACTCCGCGGGCGCTCACTCGCCACAGCAGCAGCAGCTCGCTCGCTCGCTCTACATGGCCGTTGCACCGCGTGAGCAAGGTTTAAACTGCGCTAGCATTTACGTTACACGTGGCAGCAGGGCGGCAATGCGGTGATTGACGCTTGCGCCTCACACCCAGAAGCACCTGGGTTCCATTCCCGATTCGGGCGCCTCTCTGTGTAGAGTTTATATATCCCCCTCCCCTCCCCCCATTCTGTATCGGTTTTCTGCAGGTTTTGCGGTGTCCTTCCATGGCTGAAAATAAAACCTGAACCGCGTAACGGGTATTGGCGAAGCTAAATCCCGATGCTGAAAAACGACCTGAAAATCACCCGATTGGGATCACGCACACAGACACACACACACAGACACACACAGACACACACAGACACACACAAACACACACAGACACACGGACACACACGGACACACACAGACACACACAGACACACAGACAGACACAGACACACACAGACACACACAGACACACAGCAGCAACGATGTCACTGTAAAAACCTGGCAGGACCCTCCTGAAAAAGCGTCTTGAGGCTCGGTGAGGCTTTCCCCGGGTTAAACAAGCAGAACGATCATAATGACCGTCGCAGCAGCAGCAGCAGCAGCAGCAGATGCAAGGTGAGGCGATGAGAGGTCACCTTCTTGCTCATGCTCTTGATGCTGACGCTGTGGGGCAGCTTCTCCCTCTCGTCAGGCGACAGGTCGCTCGCCTCCAAGCACGACTCCTCCTCCGGCTCCACTGCACATCGCACCAAAGTCACGGCACACCATTACCACGGCATACCGTCGCCACGGCACGCCGTCGCACCGTCACCACCTCATGCTATTACCAGGGTACACCGTCACCAAGGCAAAGTGTCACCGCCTCATACCATCACCACCGCACACTGTCACCATGGCACACCATCACCACGGCACACCGTTACCACATCATACCATCACCATGTTACACCGTAGCCACGGCACACCGTCACAGTGAGGGGTCGGCGTGAGGGGTCACGTGGGGCTACCGGTGTCGGTCTCCTCCTCGTTGAGCTCCGCGAGGATCTCGGCAGGCGGCTCGCCGCCCTCGGTGAGCCGGCGGAACGCCTCCAGCTGCTCTGTAGCCACACGCGCAACAACCATCAACAACCATTAACAGCAACAACTGCTCTAGCTGAGGCAGCTGCGGTGCCAAGAGGCACGCGTGTGTGGTGGCTGAGGTGGCTGAGGTGACTGAGGTGGTTGAGGTGGTTGAGGTGGTTGAGGTCGTTGAGGTGGTTGAGGTAGTTGAGGTGGCTGAGGTGGCTGAGGTGGCTGAGGTGGCTGAGGTGGTTGAGGTGACTGAGGTGGTTGAGGTGGCTGAGGTGACTGAGGTGGTTGAGGTGGTTGAGGTGGTTGAGGTGGTTGAGGTGGCTGAGGTGGCTGAGGTGGCTGAGGTGGCTGAGGTGGCTGAGGTGGTTGAGGTGACTGAGGTGGTTGAGGTGGTTGAGGTGGCTGAGGTGGCTGAGGTGACTGAGGTGGCTGAGGTGGTTGAGGTGGCTGAGGTGGCTGAGGTGACTGAGGTGGCTGAGGTGGCTGAGGTGGTTGAGGTGGCTGAGGTGGTTGAGGTGACTGAGGTGGTTGAGGTGGCTGAGGTGGTTGAGGTGGCTGAGGTGACTGAGGTGGTTGAGGTGGTTGAGGTGGTTGAGGTGGCTGAGGTGGCTGAGGTGACTGAGGTGGTTGAGGTGGTTGAGGTGGTTGAGGTGGCTGAGGTGGTTGAGGTGGCTGAGGTGGCTGAGGTGGCTGAGGTGGCTGAGGTGACTGAGGTGGTTGAGGTGACTGAGGTGGTTGAGGTGGTTGAGGTGGTTGAGGTGGCTGAGGTGGCTGAGGTGACTGAGGTGGCTGAGGTGGCTGAGGTGGTTGAGGTGGCTGAGGTGGCTGAGGTGACTGAGGTGGCTGAGGTGGCTGAGGTGGTTGAGGTGGCTGAGGTGGTTGAGGTGGTTGAGGTGGTTGAGGTGGCTGAGGTGGTTGAGGTGGCTGAGGTGGCTGAGGTGGCTGAGGTGACTGAGGTGGCTGAGGTGGTTGAGGTGACTGAGGTGGCTGAGGTGGTTGAGGTGGCTGAGGTGGTTGAGGTGGCTGAGGTGACTGAGGTGACTGAGGTGGCTGAGGTGGTTGTGGTGGCTGAGGTGGCTCAGGTGGTTGAGGTGGTTGTGGTGGTTGAGGTGGTTGAGGTGGTTGAGGTGGTTGAGGTGACTGAGGTGGTTGAGGTGGTTGAAGTGGTTGAGGTGGCTGAGGTGGTTGAGGTGGTTGAGGTGACTGAGGTGGTTGAGGTGGTTGAGGTGGCTGAGGTGGTTGAGGTGGTTGAGGTGACTGAGGTGGTTGAGGTGGTTGAGGTGGTTGAGGTGACTGAGGTGGTTGAGGTGGCTGAGGTGACTGAGGTGGTTGAGGTGGTTGAGGTGACTGAGGTGGTTGAGGTGGTTGAGGTGGTTGAGGTGACTGAGGTGGTTGAGGTGACTGAGGTGACTGAGGTGGTTGAGGTGGTTGAGGTGGTTGAGGTGACTGAGGTGACTGAGGTGGTTGAGGTGGTTGAGGTGGTTAAGGTGGTTGAGGTGGTTGAGGTGGCTGAGGTGGTTGAGGTGACTGAGGTGGCTGAGGTGGTTGAGGTGGTTGAGGTGACTGAGGTGGCTGAGGTGGTTGAGGTGGTTAAGGTGGTTGAGGTGGTTGAGGTGGCTGAGGTGGTTGAGGTGACTGAGGTGACTGAGGTGGCTGAGGTGGTTGAGGTGGCTGAGGTGACTGAGGTGGTTGAGGTGGTTGAGGTGGTTGTGGTGGTTGGGGCCGGTTAAGGTGGCTGAGGTGGTTGAGGTGGTTGAGGTGACTGAGGTGACTGAGGTGACTGAGGTGGTTGAGGTGGTTGAGGTGGTTGAGGTGGCTGAGGTGGCTGAGGTGGCTGAGGTGGCTGAGGTGGCTGAGGTGGTTGAGGTGGTTGAGGTGGTTGAGGTGGCTGAGGTGACTGAGGTGACTGAGGTGGCTGAGGTGGTTGAGGTGGCTGAGGTGACTGAGGTGGCTGAGATGGTTGAGGTGGCTGAGGTGGTTGAGGTGGTTGAGGTGACTGAGGTGACTGAGGTGGTTGAGGTGGCTGAGGTGGTTGAGGTGGTTGAGGTGGCTGAGGTGGTTGAGGTGGCTGAGGTGGCTGAGGTGGCTGAGGTGGCTGAGGTGACTGAGGTGACTGAGGTGGTTGAGGTGGTTGAGGTGGTTGAGGTGACTGAGGTGGTTGAGGTGGCTGAGGTGACTGAGGTGGTTGAGGTGGTTGAGGTGGTTGAGGTGACTGAGGTGGTTGAGGTGGTTGAGGTGACTGAGGTGGTTGAGGTGACTGAGGTGACTGAGGTGGTTGAGGTGGTTGAGGTGGTTGAGGTGACTGAGGTGGTTGAGGTGGTTGAGGTGGTTGAGGTGGTTGAGGTGGTTGAGGTGGCTGAGGTGGTTGAGGTGACTGAGGTGGCTGAGGTGGTTGAGGTGGTTGAGGTGACTGAGGTGGCTGAGGTGGCTGAGGTGGTTAAGGTGGTTGAGGTTGTTGAGGTGGCTGAGGTGGTTGAGGTGACTGAGGTGACTGAGGTGGCTGAGGTGGTTGAGGTGGCTGAGGTGACTGAGGTGGTTGAGGTGGTTGAGGTGGTTGAGGTGGTTGAGGTGGTTAAGGTGGCTGAGGTGGTTGAGGTGGTTGAGGTGACTGAGGTGACTGAGGTGGTTGAGGTGGTTGAGGTGGTTGAGGTGGCTGAGGTGGTTGAGGTGGCTGAGGTGGCTGAGGTGGCTGAGGTGGCTGAGGTGGTTGAGGTGGTTGAGGTGGTTGAGGTGGTTGAGGTGGCTGAGGTGACTGAGGTGACTGAGGTGGCTGAGGTGGTTGAGGTGGCTGAGGTGACTGAGGTGGCTGAGGTGGTTGAGGTGGTTGAGGTGGCTGAGGTGGTTGAGGTGGTTGAGGTGACTGAGGTGACTGAGGTGACTGAGGTGGTTGAGGTGGTTGAGGTGGTTGAGGTGGCTGAGGTGGTTGAGGTGGCTGAGGTGGCTGAGGTGGCTGAGGTGACTGAGGTGGCTGAGGTGGTTGAGGTGACTGAGGTGGCTGAGGTGGTTGAGGTGGCTGAGGTGGTTGAGGTGGCTGAGGTGACTGAGGTGACTGAGGTGGCTGAGGTGGTTGTGGTGGCTGAGGTGGCTGAGGTGGTTGAGGTGGTTGTGGTGGTTGAGGTGGTTGAGGTGGTTGAGGTGGTTGAGGTGACTGAGGTGGTTGAGGTGGTTGAAGTGGTTGAGGTGGTTGAGGTGGTTGAGGTGGTTGAGGTGACTGAGGTGGTTGAGGTGGCTGAGGTGGTTGAGGTGACTGAGGTGGTTGAGGTGGTTGAGGTGGTTGAGGTGACTGAGGTGGTTGAGGTGGCTGAGGTGACTGAGGTGGTTGAGGTGGTTGAGGTGGTTGAGGTGACTGAGGTGGTTGAGGTGGTTGAGGTGGTTGAGGTGACTGAGGTGGTTGAGGTGACTGAGGTGACTGAGGTGGTTGAGGTGGTTGAGGTGGTTGAGGTGACTGAGGTGACTGAGGTGGTTGAGGTGGTTGAGGTGGTTAAGGTGGTTGAGGTGGTTGAGGTGGCTGAGGTGGTTGAGGTGACTGAGGTGGCTGAGGTGGTTGAGGTGGTTGAGGTGACTGAGGTGGCTGAGGTGGTTGAGGTGGTTAAGGTGGTTGAGGTGGTTGAGGTGGCTGAGGTGGTTGAGGTGACTGAGGTGACTGAGGTGGCTGAGGTGGTTGAGGTGGCTGAGGTGACTGAGGTGGTTGAGGTGGTTGAGGTGGTTGTGGTGGTTGGGGCCGGTTAAGGTGGCTGAGGTGGTTGAGGTGGTTGAGGTGACTGAGGTGACTGAGGTGACTGAGGTGGTTGAGGTGGTTGAGGTGGTTGAGGTGGCTGAGGTGGCTGAGGTGGCTGAGGTGGTTGAGGTGGTTGAGGTGGTTGAGGTGGTTGAGGTGGCTGAGGTGACTGAGGTGACTGAGGTGGCTGAGGTGGTTGAGGTGGCTGAGGTGACTGAGGTGGCTGAGATGGTTGAGGTGGCTGAGGTGGTTGAGGTGGTTGAGGTGACTGAGGTGACTGAGCTGGTTGAGGTGGCTGAGGTGGTTGAGGTGGTTGAGGTGGCTGAGGTGGTTGAGGTGGCTGAGGTGGCTGAGGTGGCTGAGGTGGCTGAGGTGACTGAGGTGGTTGAGGTGACTGAGGTGGTTGAGGTGGTTGAGGTGGTTGAGGTGACTGAGGTGGTTGAGGTGGCTGAGGTGACTGAGGTGGTTGAGGTGGTTGAGGTGGTTGAGGTGACTGAGGTGGTTGAGGTGGTTGAGGTGGTTGAGGTGACTGAGGTGGTTGAGGTGACTGAGGTGACTGAGGTGGTTGAGGTGGTTGAGGTGGTTGAGGTGACTGAGGTGACTGAGGTGGTTGAGGTGGTTGAGGTGGTTAAGGTGGTTGAGGTGGTTGAGGTGGCTGAGGTGGTTGAGGTGACTGAGGTGGCTGAGGTGGTTGAGGTGGTTGAGGTGACTGAGGTGGCTGAGGTGGTTGAGGTGGTTAAGGTGGTTGAGGTGGTTGAGGTGGCTGAGGTGGTTGAGGTGACTGAGGTGACTGAGGTGGCTGAGGTGGTTGAGGTGGCTGAGGTGGTTGAGGTGGTTGAGGTGGTTGAGGTGGTTGAGGTGGTTAAGGTGGCTGAGGTGGTTGAGGTGGTTGAGGTGACTGAGGTGACTGAGGTGACTGAGGTGGTTGAGGTGGTTGAGGTGGTTGAGGTGGCTGAGGTGGTTGAGGTGGCTGAGGTGGCTGAGGTGGCTGAGGTGGCTGAGGTGGTTGAGGTGGTTGAGGTGGTTGAGGTGGTTGAGGTGGCTGAGGTGACTGAGGTGACTGAGGTGGCTGAGGTGGTTGAGGTGGCTGAGGTGACTGAGGTGGCTGAGGTGGTTGAGGTGGTTGAGGTGGCTGAGGTGGCTGAGGTGGTTGAGGTGACTGAGGTGACTGAGGTGGTTGAGGTGGCTGAGGTGGTTGAGGTGGTTGAGGTGGCTGAGGTGGTTGAGGTGGCTGAGGTGGCTGAGGTGGCTGAGGTGGCTGAGGTGACTGAGGTGGTTGAGGTGACTGAGGTGGTTGAGGTGGTTGAGGTGGCTGAGGTGGCTGAGGTGACTGGGGTGGCTGAGGTGGCTGAGGTGGTTGAGGTGGCTGAGGTGGCTGAGGTGACTGAGGTGGCTGAGGTGGCTGAGGTGGTTGAGGTGGCTGAGGTGGCTGAGGTGATTGAGGTGGTTGAGGTGACTGAGGTGGTTGAGGTGGTTGAGGTGGCTGAGGTGGTTGAGGTGGCTGAGGTGGCTGAGGTGGTTGAGGTGGCTGAGGTGGCTGAGGTGACTGAGGTGGCTGAGGTGGCTGAGGTGGTTGAGGTGGCTGAGGTGGTTGAGGTGGTTGAGGTGACTGAGGTGGCTGAGGTGGCTGAGGTGGTTGAGGTGACTGAGGTGGCTGAGGTGGTTGAGGTGGCTGAGGTGGTTGAGGTGGCTGAGGTGACTGAGGTGACTGAGGTGGCTGAGGTGGTTGTGGTGGCTGAGGTGGCTGAGGTGGTTGAGGTGGTTGTGGTGGTTGAGGTGGTTGAGGTGGTTGAGGTGGTTGAGGTGACTGAGGTGGTTGAGGTGGTTGAAGTGGTTGAGGTGGTTGAGGTGGCTGAGGTGGTTGAGGTGGTTGAGGTGGCTGAGGTGGTTGAGGTGGTTGAGGTGACTGAGGTGGTTGAGGTGGTTGAGGTGGTTGAGGTGACTGAGGTGGTTGAGGTGGCTGAGGCGACTGAGGTGGTTGAGGTGGTTGAGGTGACTGAGGTGGCTGAGGTGGCTGAGGTGGTTGAGGTGACTGAGGTGGCTGAGGTGGTTGAGGTGGCTGAGGTGGTTGAGGTGGCTGAGGTGACTGAGGTGACTGAGGTGGCTGAGGTGGTTGTGGTGGCTGAGGTGGCTGAGGTGGTTGAGGTGGTTGTGGTGGTTGAGGTGGTTGAGGTGGTTGAGGTGGTTGAGGTGACTGAGGTGGTTGAGGTGGTTGAAGTGGTTGAGGTGGTTGAGGTGGCTGAGGTGGTTGAGGTGGTTGAGGTGGCTGAGGTGGTTGAGGTGGTTGAGGTGACTGAGGTGGTTGAGGTGGTTGAGGTGGTTGAGGTGACTGAGGTGGTTGAGGTGGCTGAGGCGACTGAGGTGGTTGAGGTGGTTGAGGTGGTTGTGGTGGTTGAGGTGGTTGAGGTGGTTGAGGTGGTTGAGGTGACTGAGGTGGTTGAGGTGGTTGAGGTGGTTGAGGTGGTTGAGGTGGCTGAGGTGGTTGAGGTGGTTGAGGTGACTGAGGTGGTTGAGGTGGCTGAGGTGGTTGAGGTGGTTGAGGTGGTTGAGGTGGCTGAGGTGGTTGAGGTGGTTGAGGTGGCTGAGGTGGTTGAGGTGGCTGAGGTGGTTGAGGTGGCTGAGGTGGTTGAGGTGGTTGAGGTGGCTGAGGTGGTGGAGGTGGTGGAGGTGGCTGAGGTGGCTGAGGTGGTTGAGGTGGTTGAGGTGGTTGAGGTGGTGGAGGTGGTGGAGGTGGCTGAGGTGGCTGAGGTGGTTGAGGTGGTTGAAGTGGTTGAGGTGGTGGAGGTGGCTGAGGTTGCGGTGACTGCCATGGCTGCCGTGGCTGGTGTGGTTGGTGTGGTTGGTGTGGTTGGTGTGGCTGGTGTGGTTGCTGTGGCTGGTGTGTTTGGTGTGGTTGGATTGGTTGGTGTGGCTGGTGTGGTTGGAGTGGTTGGAGTGGTTGGAGTGGTTGGTGTGGTTGGTGTGGTTGGAGTGGTTGGAGTGGTTGGAGTGGCTGGTGTGGTTGGAGCGGTTGGTGTGGTTGGTGTGGTTGGTGTGGCTGGTGTGGTTGGTGTGGTTAGAGTGGTTGGTGTGGCTGGTGTGGTTGGCGTGGTTGGTGTGGTTGGAGTGGTTGGTGTGGTTGGAGTGGTTGGAGTGGTTGGTGTGGTTGGCGTGGTTGGGGTGGTTGGAGTGGTTGGTGCGGTTGGCGTGGCTGGCGTGGTTGGAGTGGTTGATGTGGTTGGCGTGGTTGGTGTGGTTGGTGTGGTTGGTGTGGTTGGAGTGGTTGATGTGGTTGGCGTGGTTGGTGTGGTTGGTGTGGCTGGTGTGGTTGGTGTGGTTGGTGTGGCTGGTGTGGTTGGTGTGGTTGGTGTGGCTGGTGTGGTTGGCGTGGTTGGCGTGGTTGGTGTGGTTGGTGTGGTTGGTGTGGCTGGTGTGTTTGGCGTGATTGGTGTGGTTGACGTGGTTGGTGTGCCTGGTGTGGTTGGTGTGGTTGGCGTGGTTGGTGTGGTTGGTGTGGTTGGCGTGGTTGGCGTGGTTGGCGTGGTTGGCGTGGTTGGTGTGCCTGGTGTGGTTGGCGTGGTTGGCGTGGTTGGTGTGGTTGGTGTGGTTGGTGTGCCTGGTGTGGTTGGCGTGGTTGTCGTGGTTGGCGTGGTTGGCGTGGTTGGTGTGGTTGGTGTGGTTGGAGTGGTTGGTGTGGTTGGTGTGGTTGCTGTGGTTGGCGTGGTTGGCGTGGTTGGTGTGGCTGGTGTGGTTGGCGTGGTTGGCCTGGTTGGTGTGGTTGGTGTGGTTGCTGTGGTTGGTGTGGTTGGTGTGGCTGGTGTGGCTGGTGTGGTTGGAGTGGTTGGCGTGGTTGGTGTGGTTGGAGTGGTTGGTGTGGTTGCTGTGGTTGCTGTGGTTGGCGTGGTTGCTGTGGTTGGCGTTGTTGGTGCGGTTGGTGCGGTTGGTGCGGCTGGTGCGGTTGGAGTGGTTGGTGTGGTTGGTGTGGTTGGCGTGGTTGGCGTGGCTGGTGTGGTTGGTGTGGTTGGTGTGGTTGGAGTGGTTGGTGTGGTTGTTGTGGTTTGTGTGGTTGGCGTGGTTGGCGTGGTTGGCGTGGTTGTTGTGGTTGGTGTGGTTGGTGTGGTTGGAGTGGTTGGTGTGGTTGGTGTGGTTGTTGTGGTTGGTGTGGTTGGTGTGGTTGGAGTGGTTGGTGTGGTTGGTGTGGTTGGAGTGGTTGGAGTGGTTGGTGTGGTTGGTGTGGTTGGAGTGGTTGGTGTGGTTGGCGTGGTTGCTGTGGTTGGTGTGGTTGGTGCGGTTGGTGCGGTTGGTGCGGTTGGTGTGGTTGGAGTGGTTGGTGTGGTTGGAGTGGTTGGTGTGGTTGGAGTGGTTGGTGCGGTTGGTGCAGGCTGGAGTGGTTGGTGTGGTTGGAGTGGTTGGTGCGGTTGGCGTGGTTGGAGTGGTTGGTGTGGTTGGAGTGGTTGGAGTGGTTGGTGCGGTTGGTGTGGCTGGCGTGGTTGGTGTTGTTGGTATGGTTGACGTGGTTGGAGTGGTTGGAGTGGTTGGTGTGGTTGGTGTGGTTGGTGTGGTTGGAGTGGTTGATGTGGTTGGCGTGGTTGGTGTGGTTGGTGTGGCTGGTGTGGTTGGTGTGGTTGGTGTGGTTGGCGTGGTTGGTGTGGTTGGTGTGGCTGGTGTGGTTGGTGTGGTTGGTGTGGCTGGTGTGGTTGGCGTGGTTGGCGTGGTTGGCGTGGTTGGTGTGGCTGGCGTGGTTGGTGTGGTTGGTGTGGCTGGCGTGGTTGGCGTGGTTGGTGTGGTTGGCGTGGTTGGTGTGGTTGGTGTGGCTGGTGTGGTTGGTGTGGCTGGTATGGTTGGTGTGGCTGGTGTGGTTGGCGTGGTTGGCGTGGTTGGCGTGGTTGGCGTGGCTGGTGTGGCTGGTGTGGTTGGCGTGGTTGGTGTGGTTGGTGTGGTTGCTGTGGTTGGTGTGGTTGGGTGGCTGGTGTGGCTGGCGTGGTTGGAGTGGTTGGCGTGGTTGGTGTGGTTGGCGTGGCTGGTGTGGTTGCTGTGGTTGCTGTGGTTGGTGTGGTTGGTGTGGCTGGTGTGGTTGGCGTGGTTGGCGTGGTTGGTGTGGCTGGCGTGGTTGGCGTGGTTGGTGTGGTTGCTGTGGTTGGCGTGGTTGCTGTGGTTGGCGTAGTTGGTGTGGTTCGTGTGGTTGGTGTGGTTGCTGTGGCTGGTGTGGTTGGTGTGGTTGGCGTGGTTGGCGTGGTTGGTGTGGTTGTTGTGGCTGGTGTGGTTCGTGTGGTTATTGTATCTGCTGCTCGCTTACTCTGCTCCACCTCCGGTTTGAGGCGTTTGTTCTTGATCAGGATTTTCCGCCTCAGGTCACTCGGAGAAGGAAGCGGCTTCCCCGGCTCCAGCTTCAATCGGTGCTCACAAACACAAACAAAGATAAAGACAAAGACCCCCCGTATAGCCTTAACTGTTGGGGCAAGGCCGAAACGGCATACATGCACGGGCGGGGAGGGGGCCGTGAGTGGGACTTGAACTTGGGTCGCCGGGGTTGTAGTGCAGCGTGCTATCCATTGCACCACCGCTCCCCAAATACAAACACGCGCACGCACAGAGACACGCGCACGACCCCCAGACAGACATCCCAACTCCAGAGAGGCACAGCAGCAGCAGCGTGGAAGGATGCGTCGCCAATCCGGGTTTTAACAGCTGGTATTTTTTTAGTAAGAACAGGGAGAGAGACTCCTGAGGTTGTGGCTGTGAATGAGGAGGTCCTTTAAACGTTTGGCAGATTTATTTGAAATCGCTTTTAACATGAAGGGGGGAACAGATTGGAGGTGATACAGAGGATGCAATGATGACTTCTAAAAGGGGCGGTCAAGGGCAAAGCAGGGGGGGGGGGCGAGTGGTGAAATGTAAGGAGGCATGTGAGAGTGGTTACAGAGAGTAGGTGGCGGTGTAACGAGAGAGGCACGCTCGATATCACGCGAAGCGGCAATCGGTGGAAAAGGGAGTGGAGTGCGCAGCACGGCGCTCACAGCGATGATGACGATGGTGATGATGACGATGGTGGCGATGATGATGACAGTGATGGCGATGACGATGGTGACGACGGTGATGATGACGACGATGATGATGACAATGGTGATGACGATGGCGACGATGATGATGACGTCGACACGATCACCCACCCGGTGGCTCTCCAGGGGCTGCTTGAGCAGCAGTTCTCCGAACACCTCCTCGCAGTAGCGCGCCATCTTGTATTGCTGCGACTTGCTGCAGAAGGCAGCGCCACGCGCGTCATGCTGGGGTCACACTCGGACCACGCTTGCGTCGCTCCCCCCAGGCCCCTCTCCGCACTTTCAGGTTTCAAATGATAATTGTTCTTAAAAACGAATGCTCCACTTCTATGTTTGTTTAACCCACTCAGGAAAGCCACACCGACTCCGGTTTCAGGAGTGTGTCCTGCACCGGGATGTTTGGCGGCGTGTGGGTGTGCCCACTTTTTCCAAGACATTTGGCCACGTGACATTGTTTGACTGTGTCAGGTGGTGGAGGGTTTTACGAAAACGTATTTGGCCAGATCCTTACGTGGCCTAACCCAAAAAAAATCAATCCCTTCATTGTCACTCGCCACTAACCCCGACCGTCAATGGCACCGTGCATCGCTACAGCCACCATGCACCAAGTGTGTGGGTGGTGCTGGTAGTGGTGGCAAGCAGTGGCGCAGTAATTAGCGTGCCGCGCTACAAGCCCCGGTGATCCGAGTTCGATTCCTGCTCACGGCCACCAACACCAGTGGCGATAATCTGAAATAGTCCTGGGCCTCTCCTAGGTCGGCTCAGCCTCAAATCAGTACCTTGCACGGTGCGTAAACATCGCCACACGGAAGATAAAGGCGGCTGGGCGTGGTGTTGGCCACCCCCTCATGTGTCATGGTGGCCTTCATAGGTGCTCGCTAACAGCACTCGCCACCATAGTCTATTAAGGCTATCGGGGAATCTTTGTCTTAGGTGTGCAGTGGTGGTAGAGGTGGTGTGTGGCAGCAGTGGTGGTTAATGTTGGCAGTAGTGGCTAAAAACACAGGAAGTTGGCACAGTATGGGGCACAGTTGGTGCATCGGATAGTCAGTCAACTCATGGCACCTGGGTCTGTCCCGTGACCTCCTGCCAGCGGGCGTTTGACACTTCACATGGCCTTAAAGTGCACATAGCCTGGCACAAGCGCCGTGTTGACGTCACCGCCACTTAGTGGCGAATGGCGGTTGTTGGTGTGGGGTGTTGTCAGACGTGGTGTGTGGTGGCAATGGTGGTGGCTGTGGTGGTAGTGGTGGTGGTGTGCGGTGGTGGCAGTGGTGGTGAGGCCGCTACCAGCAGTGGTTCTCGAAGGAGAGGATGACTGGGTAGTCGGAAGTGACAAACGCCGTCTCCTTGATGGCCTGGATCACGTCCTGGAGGCCCCACACACACGGCACAGCAGCAGCAGCAGCATGGGGGTGAGGGAGGCGTCGGGGCACGCAGCTTGGACACTGCACGGGGGCCACGTAGCCACTCCGTGCGGCTGACGGGGTACGCGGAGACCGTGATGGGATGGAGGCGCTTCGCCCGCTCGTGTGCGGCTGCTCTCACCTTGAAGAGGATGTCGGTGCACATGGCCTTGCCGTGCGTGATGATCGGCTCCTGGTCCTCCCCTTTGCCGTCCCAGCAGTCCAGCTCCACACACCTGCGCGCACGGGGAACACGGAGTAACGTCGGGCAACGCGGGGACACCGAACAACGTGGGGTAACGTGGGGACACGGAGTAATGCGGGAGACGCGAGGGCCAACCTCGGCAGGATTGTGAGTCGGAGGGGCTCTGAGTTCAATGCCTTGTTGGGGTGGGGTGACTCAGCCCGGCAGTGGTTGCCCTTGGGAGAGACTGAGCCCTGCCACAGGAATTTGGGAATTCCACCACCAGTTCTGCAGTGCTGTAAACACTGATGCCTCGATGCTCGTTTTGAGCAACGGGAACTCGTGACAAACGATTGACACGGCTGGCTACGTATGGTTGCGAAAGAAGTTCAACATACACACAACTCACATGAATGCATTTTTAAACCCAACTCCATCTCAAGACGCTGCACAAACACTGTGTGACACTGTGTGATATTTACAGAGAGATTTATATTATAGCAAGGTTTTGGAGCCTGCACTTAAACATGGGCATGGAGCCAACTGCCCGGGAAGTGAGTTCCAGACATTGGGGGCAGCAGTGGAGAAGAAGCGACCTCCACTGAGTAACAACAAAGCAGACAACACGCCTCCTTCACACATGTATGTATGTATGTTGAATTTCTTTTGCACCATATTTAGCCAACCGTGCTAATCAGAGGTGCGGGGGGAAGGACAACAAACACGAGTGCTCCTCCAAGTAAAAAACACATACACTATTTGTACCTCACCAGCCACACGGCCTTCTGGAAGTGATGCATGATTTCAGCAGCTTTGGTTCAACACAAGCTAAACTCTGGACCGGTATCAACATTCGGTGTCTCATGAGCAAGGTCAGGCTTGCATGAAACGATGCCTGTGAACTGGCAGATGTCCATCGGCGAGGACCGTCCTCTCTCTCTGATGTGGATCCAAGTTGACCACAAAACTCTGGAACCCACAAGACGACGTCAGCACTCGCGTCGTAGAGGAGAACGTGGCGAGACGACCCAGCAGGCAAGTAGGAGGCTGCCTGTGCGATTGGACAGGAGGCCTCGGCTGCTGGATCAGAGAAATTGCAGACGAAAGTCACCCTGGCCCCGCGTGGACTTAACCACATGCATGCACAGGTGTGCAGCATTGCACGTATGCGCTCTCTCAGCCTTGTCTAGACCACCAGCTCAAAAAGAACCGTGGCTATTTTGTCGTGTAGACCTTAGACCCACCAACTCGGAGAGGGTCCAGATAACGTGGCCGTCCCGACGGGCGAAACCGCACGAGGGCGGCGGGGGCGGCGGGGGCGGCGGGGGCGGCGGGGGCGGCGGGGGCGGCGGCCTCACCTGCAGCCGGCCAGCAGCACCTGGCGGTACATCTCCACCGAGGACTTGCCCCCAAACTGGCGGCCGATGAGGTAGGTGTTGTGCGAGGAGTTGACGTAGTAGTGCGAGAGCGGCTGCTCCATGTCCTGGTAGAGCTCCAGGCGGTCCAAGAAGACCGGCGCGTTCTCGTCCGACATCAGGTACCGGCACAGCCCGTCCCGCGACAGCCGCCCTGCGCATAGCCCAACGCCAGCGGTTATTTGAACCGGTCCTGGGCCTCTCCGAGGTCGACTCACCTCAAATGAGTACCTGGTGCAATGTGGAAACATCGCCACTGGAGAGACAAAGGCGACCGGGCGTGGTGGCCACCCATCGCCTCGTGTGCCGTGCCAGCCTGCATAGGTGTTACTCGCAAACAGCACTTGCCCCAACAGTCTGTTAAGGCTGTACGCGAGATCTTTGTTTTATTTTTTTGGCGGTGGTGTTGATGGCGGTGGTGTTGGTGTGCTGTGAAGGTGGCGGTGGTGGTGGCGGTGTTGGGCGCAACTGCGCACCTTGGTTCCGGTTCTCTTCATCCTTCTCGTGAGCCTCGATGATCTGCCTGGCTCGCTTCGCGTCGTAGAACGGGAAGAGGATCTCGTTGAGCCGAGGGTCACGCTGGTACTGAGAGACGAGCGGGGAGGAAGAAGAGAAGGGCGGAAAGCAGAGGACATCAATCATTCCCTCATCGACCCGCTCATCTCGGCCGCAATGTGACCGCGCGCCCTGGCCAGCGTGTGCGGCGATCGCGGTGAGGCCGTGCAAGAGGCAAGCAGAAGCCCGAGGTGGTCCCGCGCGCTATCGGTGTGGAGGAGGAGATCGGCGACAGAGGAGAGGGTGGCCTGGGGACCCCGGCGCGTGGCCCGGCAGGAGGTAAAGGTCTCGACCGTGGCTGGGTGCTTCGGTCTCTTGGACTCGCAGATGCCAGCCCCTAGCGGTGAAGCCTCACTCCAGTGCGGCAGTGGCAATAGCGGCGGTCAGTTGGTAGGTGGGTCAGTTGGTAGGTGGGTCAGTTGGTAGGTGGGTCAGTTGGTAGGTGGGTCGCGTGAAATAAATATCCTAGGTGATGTTTTTGCTCTGTTTGTAAATCAGTGTGAGCTTGTTAAACGCGTAGCCGGGAAACCCGGTCACCGTTTTTAGAATCTATTACCGGTTACAAAAGTCAGCAACCGGTCACCGATTATAATTACCGGCAGACATTGAGGCGTCAGCTTTCCGGCTGAACTGGCAATTAAATCGTCACTTCGGCGGCTGTAGGCATCTCTGCGCGTGTGGCGAAACTGGCAAACCGTGGCGTTTCTCGCGGTTACCGGTTAAGCGTCACACACAATGTAAACCACCCCAGGGTCAACTAATGGGAGATTCCACTCAGGGAACGCGTTTAGGTATTGATGTAAACCAACCGGAGGTGCATCTCCCTCGCATTGCACAACGTGGAACGACGCGATATGGACTGAGCACTCGTGACTAAAACCACGCACGGATAGCAGAATGTACCAGCGCCCATGCCAAGCCAGAGATACGGGTAGCAAAGGATGCAGACTGCATGTGTGCGTGGCACCACGCCAGCGTGTGTGGCACACGAATGTGTGTGTGTAGCATGCCAGCGTGTGTGTGTGGCACAATGCCAATGTGTGTGGCACATGAGTGTGTGCTTGTGTAACACGCCAGTGTGTGTGTCAGGGGTCAAATCAACGACGCATGCAAAGGTCACACGCGCACGTGCGTCTGAAGAATATAAGCCCCCAGCGTGCGGTCACATGGGATCACGGGTGCAAGCGGGCACACACAGGCGCACACACGCACAAAGACAAAGACCCCCCCCCCCTCCCCTCAGTATAGCCTTGACAGACTGTTGGGACAAGTGCGGTTAGCGAGTAGCACCTATGAAGGCCGTTACGGCACACGAGGGGGTGGGTGGCCAGTACTACGCCTGGCCGCCTTCGTCTCCCCAGTGACGATGTTTACACACCGCACCAGGTACTCATTTAAGTATGAGTCGACCTCGGGTCGCCGTGTTCGCAGTGCAGCGTGCCAACTGCTACACTACCCCACACACGCACACACATGCACACGCACGCTCGCACAGACACTCACGCGTGCGCATGCACGGGCGGGGAGGGGGCAAGCACAGAGGGGACAGCAGCGTGCGTCTGGTGTCGCCATCACTCCACAAGAAGAGTGGCAGAGCCACCACCACCGGTGCCACGAGCTCCAACAGCAGCAACTACAATGCTGATCCGATTACCGGCACCAGCATTACCACCACTGACGATACCCGGGCCACGAATCATTACAGCTCAACCAGTGTGGTGGTGATGATGATGACAATAATTACTGTCACATTATTATGATTATAGAGGTGGCTCCTGGCTCCAGTTTGAGGTGGAAAAAAATCCACCACGGGGTGTTGATGGCTGTAACACGACGGCTTGGAGCGGCCGCTGCTGCTGTAGCAGCGCTGCTCCCCCACAGCAGCTCCCCCGGGGAGTGCCCTGCTGCTGGAGACAGCGTCAATCATGAAGCCACTGCCAGGACCTTCCAATTTCTCAGTTGGTCTCAATATGGGTCACTGTGTGAGTCAATGTGTCTCTGCAATTCCGTGGGCCTTGATGTGAGTCTGTAGGGTCTCTATGTGAGTTTGTGGGTCTCTGTGTGAGTTTGTGGGTCTCTGTGTGAGTCTATGGGTCTCCATGCGAGTCTGTGGGTCTGTATGTGATACTGTGGGTCTATGAGAGTCTGTGGGTCTGTATGTGAGTCTTGGGTCTCTATGTGAGTTTGTGGGTCTCTGTGTGAGTCTATGGGTCTCTATGTGATACTGTGGGTCTATGAGAGTATGTGGGTCCGTATATGAGTCTATGGGTCTCTATGTGAGACTGTGGGTCTCTATGAGAGTCGATTGCTCTACGTTTGGGAAGCGACTGCCAGGTCATTCCTGTTCCTCATCGAATCCACCGGCACGCATTGTCACCTGACACTCACGACGATGCTCTCAGCCGTTACAACTTGGAGACTGCTGTTTGTCACTTGCCGCTTGGCGTTTTGCACCCTGGGCCTGCCTTTAGGCCATTAAAGCCACGAGTCCATGGACCCAAAACCTCGACTCGTAATCGCAGTCCACCCGGGCCCCACTCTGGCGCAGGTTCCGGCCTGGCCTGACTACGGCGGCAATGGTGGTGGTGGCGGCCTGCCGACAGTCACGGGAGCGATGCTGTCCCCAGCGCAGTGCCCCGAGAGAAGAGCGGCATGGAGCAAGGAGGGAGGGGAGGGAGGGGAGGGAGGGAAATGGCTTACTTCGTTAAGAAAGGTGACTAATTGATCTATGGTTATATGAGGCTGGCCGCGGCTGCTGCAAAGACAAGTGACACATGGAGCAGGTTATGGGTTAATCTCACGCCAAGCGGAGCACGCACCTCGTCACGTGTGCCCGCTCGGCAACAATCACGACCCATGAAGCGGCAGCGGCGACTCGTTGGCAATTAACATGCACAGGCATTCCCAACACAGCGCACCAATTACAAAATGTCACACTGTGCCACTGCACAGCCCCCCCTCCCCCCCCGCGTGTCACACAACGTGAAATAACACGATATACATCGAGTTTTGTTCCTGGGTACTAAGTGTTGTTTTTTTTATTCCTTATGCCTAAAAAGTATAGAAAATGGCTGTTATTCCCCACAAACTTTTCTTTTGTGACCAGGACTTTATGTGAACGAAAAACACAAATGCACACGTTTTCTCATTGAAAATAACCACATTCTTAAACATCACTGTCCTGGTCACAAAAGCAAAGTTTGTGTGGAATAATAGCCATTTTCTGTACTTCTGAGGCATAAGCAATTAGGAAATAACACTTACTATTATATTCTTGGTTCTTTCGGTAACGTCACGTAAATAGAAAACAAATTTTTGTTAATACGTAAATAAAATAAAAATAATAAAATAAAAATGTAAAATTTTAATAAATGTTTTTAATAAAAAATATAAATAATACATTGAAAATATTAAATGCAAAAAACCCACAATAAAAAGATAGTAATAGTAAGTTAAAACAAAAAAATAATTGTAAATAATAAAAGCAAAAAGTCCAAATTTAACACTTACTACCCAGGAACACATTTTGTTTTGTTACACAGTGCAATCAACGGCCCTCGTTGTAGCGGAGACTACGGGTAGCCAGATGGCAGTCGCCTCCTGCACGACGCTGTCCCCTCCACACACACAAATGCAGAAGTGTTTTTTACACATCCCATCAGCCGCATAGACGCCTGGGAGTAATTTCCGCACCGACACAAGCAACATCTAGCGATCTAGCGGAGAGGCCCCTTGCCGAGGCGCCTCTGGCAGCACACCAGCATTGGTGTGGCTGACGGGATGTGTCAAAACATAAGAAAACACGCGCCGAGCGGTCAGCCACGCGACCCAAATCGCTCTCGACATGGCGCCCCCCTCTGTAGCCAGAGACTCCCCTCACGTGGGAGTCTCGGGGTACAGAGAAGGCCACAGAGCGGGCGACTCGGTCACGGGCAACCGACTTGAGTGACTGACCGCTCAGGCTGGGCCTGGCTTCACATTGCAGGTCGCCACCCTGCAGGGTTGCCATCTGTCCCTAGAGGGTGGCCACCTGGGCAGGTGGCAACCCTAGAGGGTGGCCACCTGGGCAGGTGGCAACCCTAGAGGGTGGCTACCTGGGCAGGTGGCAACCCTAGAGGGTGGCCACCTGGACAGGTGGCCACCCTAGAGGGTGGCCATCTGGGCAGGTGGCAACTCTAGAGGGTGGCTACCTGGGCAAGTGGCAACCCTAGAGGGTGGCCACCTGTCCAGGGTTTGACCCAGACAGGAATCGGCGTCAGTGTCTCGGGTGGCAGGGATTTATTTGCACTTCGATCTGCTGCTGCTGCTATGGTGCTACTGTTGTTGTGGTGCTGCTGCTGTTGTGGTGGTGCTGCTGTTGTGGTGCTGCTGTTGTGGTGGTGCTGTGGTGCTGCTGCTGCTATGGTGCTACTGTTGTTGTGGTGCTGCTGTTGTGCTGCTGTTGTTGTTGTGGTGCTGCTGTTGTGGTGCTGTTGTGGTACTGCTGCTGCTGTTGTGGTGCTGCTGTTGTGCTGCTGCTGCTGTTGTTGTGGTGCTGCTGTTGTTGTTGTGGTGCTGCTGTTGTGGTGCTGTTGTTGTGGTGCTGCTGCTGTTGTGGTGCTGCTGCTGCTGTTGTGGTGCTGCTGCTGTTGTGGTGCTGCTGCTGCTGCTGTTGTGGTGCTGCTGCTGTTGTGGTGCTGAGCTCTCCCACAGGCACTGTACGGTTCTGGTTACAACGTGCGGACGGAGAGACGCGTTCAGCCGTGGAAACGCTGGCGACCCAAGGGTAGCAGCAGTACACAGTGAGGGCAGGGCTGGATAGTGAGGGAAGGGCTGGGTAGTGAGGGAAGGGCTGGGTAGTGAGGGTAGGGCTGGGTAGTGAGGGAAGGGCTGGGTAGTGAGGGTAGGGCTGGGTAGTGAGGGAAGGTCTGGGTAGTGAGGGCAGGGCTGGGTAGTGAGAGAAGGGCTGGTAGTGAGGGAAGGGCTGGGTAGTGAGGGCAGGGCTGGGTAGTGATGGAAGGGCTGGGTAGTGAGGGAAGGGCTGGGTAGTGATGGAAGGGCTGGGTAGTGAGGGAAGGGCTGGGTAGTGAGGGAAGGTCTGGGTAGTGAGGGCAGGGCTGGGTAGTGAGGGCAGGGCTGGGTAGTGAGGGAAGGGCTGGGTAGTGAGGGCAGGGCTGGGTAGTGAGGAAGGGTAGTGAGGGAAGAGCTGCGTAGTGCGGGAAGGGCTGGGTAGTGAGGGTAGGGCTGGGTAGTGAGGGAAGGGCTGGATAGTGAGGGAAGGGCTGGCTAGTGAGGGTAGGGCTGGGCAGTGAGGGTAGGGCTGGGTAGTGAGGGAAGGGCTGGGTAGTGAGGGAAGGGCTGGGTAGTGAGGGTGGTGGGAGGCGTGAGGGCGGTGGGGGGAGTGGGGGATGAGGGCAGTGAGGGATGAGTCGGTGGGGGGCAGTGGGGGCAGGGATGGGCTCACAGTTGCTGGAACAGCTCGTCGGTGTCCGTGCGGGGACACATGATGTGGTAGAGGTCATAGAACTTCTCGAACGTGAAGTCGGGCACCTCGATCTCCTCGTTCTAAAAGAGGGGCGAAAGTGGGGGGAGGGGGGAGGAGGAGTGAGAGGGGGTAGAGAGACGCACCACGTGGGTTCTAAGGGAGGGGGGGGGGCGCTCCCCCGCGTTGCCGCCAGGGGGCGCTACGAGCCAGCGGCTTGCGGTGTCCGCACAGGGTTGCGATTTCCGCATGGAAAATGCGGAAGGAGGGTTCAAATTTTCCCGCATTTTTGCTAAAGTCAACCGCAAACGGTGAAAAGACTACTCCTATGACCGCGCGCTTTTAACAACACGTTAATGCGTTCTATTGGAAAGGATACATGCAAGGCCCAGCATCACGTAGGGCTTTGAGTTACTGATTGGAATGAATATATGATTTCCGCATTTCCGCACAAGAACCACATACTTTATTCAAATGCGGAGCCGTGATTACGAGCACATGTACTTTCACTTCTTCGCATTCTTCCAGCGCTTCATGTCGTCTTCGGCGTGAAAGATGCTGAGTTTTGGCTTGTCGCGGGCGCAAACTATAAGCGCGTTCAACTGCTTGCACGAGAGGAGCAACCACTCCTCGGGCTTGATGTTGTTTTGCAGAGAGAAAGCCCTCTCACAGCCGACCGACCTGTGCGCCAAAGTTTTAATCGTTAGCAGTAAAGTGTATATATTCGCAGGAGGTATAAAGTAGCTACGACAGAGGCAAATGAGCGTACGCTGGACGAGGATATTACCTGAGCGGAAACGCGTGTGTATCTGAGCGTATCGAAAACAGCGTGGGTATCTGAGCGCTTGGCCAAAATTACCAGTGGATTTCCCAACGCGCTGCAATCTGAGCGACGATGAATAGTTTTGCATATCGACAGAATATGAATAAAGAAAATGCTACAGTTTTTTGTTTCTCCTTTGTCGCTACGAGTACTGCGAGGGCTCCGAATGGCAGACGCTAGGAGACATCATGGGGCTGGGCAAAAGGGCCTGAGCACAGCGCCCGGGGGTTGCGTCGATCCGGAAAGATGCAACCGTAGGGATTCCTATCGGCGACAAACATGTCAACGGCGGCGTCGTGTACTTGTGGCAAGTGTGCTTCATCGACGGCATCGACAAGTACTTCGACGCACAAGAGCTCGCGGCTCTCATTGATTTTTTCACAGTTCGTGCGCACCAACAACGCTGTCTGAATGCAGGAATCCATAGTTCATATATACATATCGTTTTTTCCAGAAGTCAGCAGAGCCAAATGGGCATACGCAAGATATGTGCGCCAACCGCGCGAGTACGGCACCGAGAAAGGCGGGAATCGAAGTCACGATTTGCGGAAGTCTTCACAGGAATCACCGCAAATTGCGGAAATTTGTGCGGAAGAGGGTCACAGAAACTACCGCAAAATGCGGTCGAAAACAGCATGTTTGCGGAAATTGGTGCGGAAATCGCAACCCTGTGTCCGCAGCGCAGAGGAGGCGAGGCGATGGACGGCGCCAGGGAAGCAGCCGCGCGACGGCTGGAAGCGGTCGCGCGGCTTTTACACTGAACGGACCGTGCGAGCGAGTCCACGATTCGTCTCGCGAGCGAGAGGGGACCCGGCTCATGAAAATGGCGAAAAAGCAATATCGTAAGAAGAAGAAAAACGTATTACGGCAATTAAGCAAAAAGAAATGCATGAAATTAAAACGAAACTATGGTTTTATTTGACCGGTTCAGGCCCACTGAGCCGTAGATCTATTTTTCAGATGCGACCTGGCTATAGCGAAGTTGCGCTTATCGCGTGGACATTTATTGCAGCCAAATTACACCGGAGGACCCGGAGAAAAAAATCCACGCGACCACGGGGAGAACACGCAAACTCCGATAATGCAGCAGGCGTCAGGATCGGGATCGAACCCACGACCTCCTATATAGCAGACGAGGTAGTTAACATCTCGCCAGAGCAGAGACAACCAGAATGTAAATGCACTGAATAAATCGAAAGTCGGCTCGGGCAAATCTCTACAAAGGCGTCCACGGGGAGATGGAGCGAAACGAGAGAACGGGCGGAGCGCAACTGCAGCACGAGGCAAACCGGGCCACGTGTCAACACCGCCACTGTGACACACTCACGCAGACGACGACCCTCGGCCAGTGCCGCATTCTCCCAGTAGCACAAGCAGCTACACATGTAGTAGCTACACAAGAAGCTACACATGTAGTAGCTACACAAGCAGCTACACATGTAGTAGCTACACAAGCAGCTACACATGTAGTAGCTACACAAGCAGCTACACATGTAGTAGCTACACAAGCAGCTACACATGTAGTAGCTACACAAGAAGCTACACATGTAGTAGCTACACAAGCAGCTACACATGTAGTAGCTACACAAGCAGCTACACATGTAGTAGCTACACAAGTAGCTACACATGTAGTAGCTACACAAGAAGCTACACATGTAGTAGCTACACAAGCAGCTACACATGTAGTAGCTACACAAGAACCTACACATGTAGTAGCTACACAAGCAGCTACACATGTAGTAGCTACACAAGCAGCTACACATGTAGTAGCTACACAAGCAGCTACACATGTAGTAGCTACACAAGCACCTACACATGTAGTAGCTACACAAGCAGCTACACATGTAGTAGCTACACAAGCAGCTACACATGTAGTAGCTACACAAGAAGCTACACATGTAGTAGCTACACAAGCAGCTACACATGTAGTAGCTACACAAGCAGCTACACATGTAGTAGCTACACAAGCAGCTACACATGTAGTAGCTACACAAGCAGCTACACATGTAGTAGCTACACAAGCAGCTACACATGTAGTAGCTACACAAGCAGCTACACATGTAGTAGCTACACAAGCAGCTACACATGTAGTAGCTACACAAGCAGCTACACATGTAGTAGCTACACAAGCAGCTACACATGTAGTAGCTACACAAGCAGCTACACATGTAGTAGCTACACAAGCAGCTACACATGTAGTAGCTACACAAGCAGCTACACATGTAGTAGCTACACAAGCAGCTACACATGTAGTAGCTACACAAGCAGCTACACATGTAGTAGCTACACAAGTACCTACACATGTAGTAGCTACGGGCCCCGCACTTTCAAGGGCCCCGCGCTAAATGCTTTCAAGCTATCAATTCCGGCTCAGTGATTCTGCACTTGCTCTATTACTATAGTACTACACTGCCTTCAACTTTTATGAACGACTGGGTGTTTAAGGTTAGCGATATGTCGTATTATCTGCCTGTATAACAAATGAAAAAATATAACAACTTTACTATGCAAGTAGAAAATGTGTGTTTTAATATTTATGTGTTTTTTATTTATTTAGGGCCCCTTTATAACAACACTAGCTTTACTACCCGGCTTCGCCCGGCACTTGGATTCACCACGCCCGGCCGCCTTTGTCTCCCCAGTGGCGATGTTCACACACCAGTTACTCATTTGAGGCTGAGTCGACCTAGGGGAGGCCCAGGACCGGTTCAGATAATCGAACTCGGGTCGCCGGGTTCGTAGCGCGGCGCGATAAGCACGACACAGATGTGACGTCACAGCTCACTTGCCGTGCAAAATAAATGCATTATTGCGCCCCATCCCCCCAAAAAAATACAAAAGTCTATTTTTTTTATTGCATAGTGTACAGTCTGGAAAGTACCCACATGGCAAATTTCAAGTGGGTTGCATGTCGTGAAGTACGCTAAACATGTTGAACAGACACACATTCACAAATTTCCCTTTGAAATATATAGATATGCTCCAAGCCCCACACTAGCTTAATCCGGCACTGCCCTCGGCCTCCACCACACAGCCGGCACTCGGCACGCCGCTGTTGACTCACGCGCCCCGTCAGCCACGCGGCCGGCTGGGAGTGCGTCATTGTCAGCAGCGTTGGTTCAACACGAGCAAACTCTGGACCGGTTTCGACAATTGTCTCGTCAGCAGAGCCCAGGCTCGCTTGCTGGTAAGCTGCCAGCTGCTTTACAGGAAAATACCCTCTCTCTCTCTCTGCTATATGCGGCTGCATGAATGTCAAAACCTGTCCAGAATGTTGCTTCTGTTGCACCTATGCTGCGGCTGATGGGATGTGGCCTGAACCCACCTACCCCTTACACGGTGGTACAGCCCAACACGCGCCGAAGCGTCAAGGATACAGGCGAGTGGGCGAATCCACTCACCTTGCCACTGGGGAGGTTCAGGTCCTTGAGCGCTTGGAAAACGCCCTTCTCTGTGCGGCCAGAAGCGAATGTCCGCGTGATACTGGGAACGACGTACGAGGAGAGAAAACTCGCCCATCACTCACGTCACTCCCATCACTCACATCACACTCGTCACTCACATCACACTCATCATACTCATCACTCACATTAGACTTTTAATAGTCAATAATCACATCACACTCGTCACAAGTGGTAGATCACACTCGGTCTACACGGCAACATGACACGGACAATGATCGTTCAGCACCACCATCAACACAACCATTAATATCATCAGCATCACAGCTATTCATGCGAGCTACATTTGCGATGCAAGGTGGAGGTGATGTACGATGTTGGTTAATGTGAAGTCATGAGGTGGGGTGATGTTAATGTTCGCTGATGTTAACATAGATGAGATTGGGTGTTGTTTTATGTTGAAAATGTAGATGCTGAGCGATGCTTGATGATGCTGGGTGATGCTGATTGGTGTACAGAAGGGGGCACACCTTCGTACGGGGATCTTTCCACTCGGGTTTATGAGGAAGCAGAGCTTCATCCAGCTGCACACACGCGCACACACAAACACGTGTCCAACAACAACCGCGGGTGACGTCACCGGAGCGCTTGTGCCAGGATAGGTGCACTTTGAGGCGAGGTGAAATGTCGAAGGCTCGCTGACAGGTGACGGGACAGACCCAGGTGCCATGGGGTGACTGGCTGAGATGACTGGCAGATGCACCGGCTTTGCCCCCTACTGTGCCAACTCGCTGTGTTTTATTCACCCGGCGCTCCGCTCGTTGTTGTGAGCGTCGCTTCTCTGCTCTCCGCTGTAGTTGGAGGGCGACTGCCTCCAACTCCTCAGTAGCATCAGTGTCAAGATCGAGGCCGATCTTAACACTGTTGGTATCAACTCCACATCCTTCTGTACAGCATCAGTCCATCTGTTCTGTAGCCGGTGCCACGCCCATTAAGTCCCCTCTATCCGGCCAAACAGAAGCTACTTGGGCATGCGGTGGCTGGGCATGCGAGCTACATGACCCAGCCAACGCAGATCTTTCAAAGATCTGTGAGCTCCTCACACAAACCAACCTGGGTAAATCCATGATGGATCGTAGGACGGCTATCATGAATATTTCAAACAGGCGCAGAAATTCATTTAAAGGGGTCAAAGTTTCGGACGCAAAAAGGAGGGCATTAAAGTGGCTGAGAAGACCCGAAGCTTCGTGTGGAGCGACAGACCAGGTAACTTCCACACAGCGTTCCGAAGATGATGAAACGATAATGCCGCTCGACTGATTCGGAGTGAGACCTCCACTGCCAAAACAGAACTGGTAAATTTTATCGCACTGTTTAGGAATGGGAACGCAAACACATGTACTGTAGAGATGTACATGTGTCCATCACACACACACACGTGTACACGTGTCCATCAGACACACACACACGTGTACACGTGTCCACACACACACGTGTCCATCACACACAGACATGTACACTTGTCCATCGCACATACACACACACACACACGTGTGCACGTGTCCATCACACACACACACATGTACACGTGTCCATCACACACACATGCAAACACGGACACACGCGGACATGAGTAAACATGCAAATCATGCACAATGGGGCACGCATCAGAGCGCAGGACTTACAAACATTCCGCACCACCTAGGCGCACTCATGCATCTCGGCACTCGTGTATCATGTCAACACTCCTTCGGCTCGACGTTCCTGCATCAACTCAACGCCCTTCCGTCTACGCGAATCTCCGCACCGCGAGCGTCGCGAGTCTGCTCATGGTGAGAGAACGGAGGAGACTTCCGCGGCTCTCCGCGCTGTCGGGGTGAGGCGGGCGAGGTAGGGGAGGGAGCAGGAGGAGAAGGGAGGAGAGAGGGAGGGCAGGAGAGGGATCTCCCCGCTGGAGAGGCCGCGCCGTGCGCCATGGTAACGCGCGTGGCTGCGTTTTCGCGTCGTTCTATTTGGGGATCCGCGCGTGGCGACATCGACGCGATAAGAGTGGGAGACATCCCAGCGGTCTGCATCAAAGGATCGCTCCTGCACAGAGACGACGGGGGTCGTCCCGCGACTCCGCGCGGACAACTGCGCTGCCCACGAGGGGATTACAACCCTGAGCTCGTCTGCCAGATGTTGTTATACGCCAGGTCTGAAGGTCACACGTGTGTGTGTCTGTGTGGGTGTCCGTGCGCGGGCGTGTGCCCCTCTGGGGCTCCGACGGTGAATGCAGCTCTCCTGGCCTCCACCGGGGCGCAGCCGTGCCCAAGTTGGGTAAGATTTCACGTGGAAATGGCCACATTTAACAAATGCGGCTAAATTCATCAAATTCCATCCCCTACAAGTGCAAGGGAGGCGAGAGCTGCGAGGGCGGCACCGCTCCCTCCCCCGCGTTAGCGCCGTGACCCGTGGCCACCCCCGCACCCCCCCACCCTCCCCAGCGTCACCCGGTAAATCCGGCGACACCGGCTTCGTCTCAGCCTCGTGCCCCCCCCACAACCACCGCCCTGCGGTGCCCAATTTTGGGGGGGAGGGGGTGGGGGAGGAAAAAAAAACAACTCGGCATAGCGCTTAATTGGGAACACGCAGCAATCATCGCCCGCCCGCACCCACCACCACCACCGCCACTCCCCTCCAAGCCAACACTCGGCTGGACCTCTCTGTGGTGACAGCCTCGGGACTCGCGCGATGCCCTGGCCGGCTAAACGCGCGGTGGCGAGCGATTTGCTGCTTGTCGGCCCCCCAACTTTCAACGTCTACGCGGGCGATCCGCGACTGCCTGGCGTGGAGTGATTGGTCGGGGGGGGGGGGGCCTTGTGAGTCATGGTTGTTCGCAGCTCGGGCTCTATGGAGCACGTGGCGCGCTGGCTAGGGCCATGCTTGGGTGTGAGAGAGCTGTGGTGCGGGCAGCAGAAGCAGCAGCAGAAGCGGCACCCACTGTTTCCGCAGGCAAGTCATGGGGCACACGTTGTTGGCCCGGAAATTGTGAATCACGGACTTGAGTCCCTCCAGCCACTCCTGCCGGGTAACACAAAGACAACGATCATCCGTATAGCCTCAACAGTGTAGGAGCAAGCGCTGTTCGTGAGCACCCATGAAGGCCGGCACGGCACACGAGCGGGTGGGTGGCCAGCACGACGCCCGGCCGCCTTTGTCTCCCTAGTGGCGATATTTACACATCGCACCAGGTACACTGCATTTAAGGTTCAGTCGACATAGGGGAGGCCCAGGAGCGGTTAAGATAAATAAGCGTCACTTGTGCTGACCGTGAGCGCAGCGCACTAACCACTGAACCACCCCTCTCCCTATACACAACAAAGACAAAGATCCTCCGTATAGTCTTAACAGTCTGTAGAGGCAAGTGCGGTTAGCGAGCACCTATGAAGGGCGGCATGGCACACGAGGGGGTGGGTGGCCAGCACCACCCCCGGCCGCTTTTGCCTCCCTAGTGGTGATGTTTACACACCGCATCAGAGACTTATGTAAGGCTGAGTCGACCTAGGGGAGGCCCAGGTGCGGTGCAAAAAATCGTCACTGGTGCCCACCATGAGCGCAGCGCGCTAATCACTCCACCACCGCTCTCTGTACACAGCCACGTGCACAAATACGCACACACAATCACGCACACACAAACACGCACACACAAACCCGCACACACAAACACTCACACCGAGCTCTCGGTTATAAAAGTGCAGCCCTGCAACCGTTTGCTCACGCCGCCTGCTGGCCGAAGGGCCTCCGCTAAAGTGAGCGCGACAGCGTACCCACAACGACTTGGTTTTACATATAACTAAGATATGCAGACTACACAACAACATCCAAATCCACACACCGGGTCGCGCTGTCGGCTATCTATCGCGATGTCTCCATGCGGAGTGTAAACTTGAGACGCAACCAGTCCTTCAGCAGCACTGTGGCCCGAAACAACGGGCCGACCGTCCCTCTGCGGTGGCGGCGGTGGTGTTGGCGGTGGTGGTGGTAGTGGTGGTGGGGGCGGTGGTGGTGGTGGTGGGGGCGGCGACGGTGGTGGCGGTGGTGGTGGTGGCGGCGGCGGCGGCAGTGGTGGGGGCGATGGTGGTAGTGGTGGTGGGGGCGGTGGTGGTGGTAGCGGTGGCGGTGGTGGCGGTGATAGTGGTGGTGGCGGTGATAGTGGTGGTGGGGGCGGTGGCGATGGTGGTGGCGGCGGTGGTGGTTGAGGTGGCGACGGTGGTGGCGGCGGTGGTGATGGTGGTAGCGGTTGGGGTTGGTGGCGGCGGTGGTGGCGGCGGCGGTGGTGGTGGCGGTGGTAGCGGTGGAGGCGGTGGTGGTAGCGGCGGTGGTGGTGGTGGCGGTGGTGGTAGCGGTGGTGGTGGAGGCGGTGGTGGCGGGGTGGTGGTGGTGGTGGCGGCGGTGGTGGTGGTTGTGGCGTGCCACGGGTCCCCAAAGCGAAGGCCGCGCGGTCCACCCGCCGTGCGTTACCTTGGCTACTTCGGGGCTGTCGGCCACCAGGTGCGTGAAGGTGATGTTCACGAGGTCGGTGCCGCTGCACACGCACACCAGGCAGCTCTCCAGCTCGGGGCCCACGCGGGCCAGGCCCTCCAGCGCCGCCAGCACCTTGGTGTCCTGGGACCGCCACCACCACACACAGCGTGACCGCCAGGCCGATCGGCGAAAGCGGCCATGAGGGTCTCTGGGATCGCGCGACCCTCCCCCGTCCCTCGCACTCCGCCGCTCTCATCCCAACACATCCTGACACTCAGGGGCGCAACTCCCTGTCTCAACGAGGGGGGGCGGGGGACTATGCAAGATACGAATGTGTCACCCCCCCCCCCAATCGTCTTTCTCCCGACTCACTTTTACTGAAACAGTTACGGATGTTGTTAAACCGCATACAACATATATATTATTTTAGTTGCACAGTGTATGGGTTTAGAGGAAGACAGTCTTACAGTGACAGTATTAAATACAATTTTAAGGATTAAGTCATCGTGCGTCTTGCTCTCATGCCGGCCCCATCGGTCTCGGATTTCCTCAAAGTGGGTGGATCGCGCAACATGACACTGCTCTCTTGATACGGCAGCTCGATGAGTTAATCGGGCTTGGTTCATAGTAGACCGCAGCGAAATTTTCAACAGATATTTTCGTTCCAATAAATGTTCTTCGCGTGTTGTTACTCGTTGATCTGCTGATTCGGGGCTGCCGGGTGGCCGACTGGGCCCCTATCAGTTGCAAAGTGCTGCCACATACCCCACCCCATAGCTGCGTCCCTGCTGATAGGGCACCCCCAGTGGCAGCTGTCCCTGTGGGCGCATAGTGACTCAGCACGTGGCCTGGAAGCGGCCTTTAGTCAGCAAACGGAGATTCTTCTGTACGGGGTGGGGGGTTATGTTGTGCCGTGCGAGTCATCCCAATTGAGTGATTTGCGATGTAATTATCGAAATTTGGACCTTGACCGCCGGCACGCAATGGCCGACTCATAAGAATTGCGTCGCGGCGGGATCTGTGACGTCCGCCGTGAGCTCAGCAAGCGGAGCGCAGCCTCGCCCTGGCAGGTAGAGCCGCGGTGTTAACCAGGGTGGCCGCCGGGATCTACGGCCGATCGTCAAGTGCCAACGACAGCTGGAGCTGCCGCGAGAGGAGCAGCCCCGGAGAGGCCGACTCTCACGTCGACGCAGAGCGGGCGGGCGTGCTGTACCGTGGCACGAGAAGAGGCTCAGCGCAGCGCGCCCGGCATACGGCTTCTGTGAACTCGCGTCAGTCCAACCACTTCGCCAACCACCAGCACCCGTGTCATAACCCCCACTCTGACATTACGGCTGTGTTCATCACGACAGCCCTCGTCGTGAGATGATGATGATGAGGTTTGGAGTTGATGACCGAGGCACAGGCCACGTTGCCCTGACCCCCCCCCCCCCACCCCCGTCCCCACCCACCACTCCCTGCCCCCCTCTCTATGGCCACCGACCTTCGGTTGTGTCCCCAGGCGCACGTCGTTGACGAGCGAGCACTCCAGCACCTGCCCCTCCTGTAGGGCCGCACACGCAGCACACGCAACACACACAGCACACAGGCTGCTTACTCGCCAATGATGCAGTAGTGGAGCTGGCTGGTAGTGCATGGTGGTGGGTGGTAGTGGAGCTGACTGGTAGTGCATGGAGGTGGGTGGTAGTGGAGCTGACTGGTAGTGCATGGAGGTGGGTGGTAGTGGAGCTGACTGGTAGTGCATGGTGGTGGGTGGTAGTGGAGCTGACTGGTAGTGCATGGAGGTGGGTGGTAGTGGAGCTAGCTGGTAGTGCATGGTGGTGGGTGGTAGTGGAGCTGACTGGTAGTGCATGGCGGTGGGTGGTAGTGGAGCTGACTGGTAGTGCATGGAGGTGGGTGGTAGTGGAGCTGGCTGGTAGTGCATGGTGGTGGGTGGTAGTGGAGCTGACTGGTAGTGCATGGAGGTGGGTGGTAGTGGAGCTGGCTGGTAGTGCATGGAGGTGGGTGGTAGTGGAGCTGACTGGTAGTGCATGGTGGTGGGTGGTAGTGGAGCTGACTGGTAGTGCATGGTGGTGGGTGGTAGTGGAGCTGGCTGGTAGTGCATGGCGGTGGGTGGTAGTGGAGCTGACTGGTAGTGCATGGCGGTGGGTGGTAGTGGAGCTGACTGGTAGTGCATGGTGGTGGGTGGTAGTGGAGCTGACTGGTAGTGCATGGTGGTGGGTGGTAGTGGAGCTGACTGGTAGTGCATGGAGGTGGGTGGTAGTGGAGCTGACTGGTAGTGCATGGAGGTGGGTGGTAGTGGAGCTGACTGGTAGTGCATGGAGGTGGGTGGTAGTGGGGCTAGCTGGTAGTGCATGGTGGTGGGTGGTAGTGGAGCTGACTGGTAGTGCATGGCGGTGGGTGGTAGTGGAGCTGACTGGTAGTGCATGGTGGAGGGTGGTAGTGGAGCTGACTGGTAGTGCATGGTGGTGGGTGGTAGTGGAGCTGACTGGTAGTGCATGGTGGTGGGTGGTAGTGGAGCTGACTGGTAGTGCATGGTGGTGGGTGGTAGTGGAGCTGACTGGTAGTGCATGGTGGTGGGTGGTAGTGGAGCTGGCTGGTAGTGCATGGAGGTGGGTGGCAGTGGAGCTGACTGGTAGTGCATGGTGGTGGGTGGTAGTGGAGCTGACTGGTAGTGCATGGAGGTGTATGATGGTGCACATGGCTGGTAGTGCAGGGTGGTTGGTGGTAGTGCAGGTGGAGAAGGTACCTTGCCCTCACTGGTCCAGCGCACGAAGAAGCCAAACTCGTCGACTTGCACGTGACAGCTGTTCTCAAACACCGCAGTCTCCTGCAGCACACAGACACCAGCACGACTGTGAGACTCCCAGCACCACCGTGAGACACCCAGCACCACCCTGAGACCCTCACCTCGTCGTAGCGGTGGAAGATCGCTCCGCGCTGCATGAACTCCGGCACCGGCTTCTGCCACTTGAACTCGTAGAGTTTCGTCATGGCCGCTGCAGGCGCCCCTCACCTGCGCCGTGACCAAAAGACAAAGATCCCCCGTGTAGCCTCAACAGACTGTCGGGGCAAGTGCTGTTAGCGAGCACCTATGAAGGCCGGCGTGGGTTCGCCAGCACCACGCCCGGCTGCCTTTGTATCCCCAGCGACGATATTCACACATCGCACCAGGTAGTCATTTGAGCCTGAGTCGACCTAGGGGAGGACCAGGACTGATTCAGATAATCGTCACTGGTGAGCAGGAATCACGTGAACCTACAGAGATACGTGAACCTACAGAGACACGTGAACCTACAGAGACACGTGAACCTACAGAGACACGTGAGCCGAGAGGAACACGTGGTCCCACAGAAACACGTGAACCCGCAGAAGCAGGCATCGTAACGGGGATCGATGAGGGGGACATGGGGGTGAGTGTGTGGAGGGGTGTGCGGAGGATACGGTCCACACAAACACAGCCCCATCGCGAACCGCATCTCCCTGGCCTCGAGGATTCATCGGTGGCCGCCTAAGCAACCCCCCACTGACTCGGCAGGCACGTGGTGAACGAGGGGTGGGGCTGCAGTGACACGGGGGGATGGGGAGGCGGGGGGCGACTCGTGACCTCGCGGCGCGGGATGAACGATCGCGAGTTTCCGAGTTTTAATTTCAATCAGGAGACGCGGCCCCGGCATGCCGTGGGGTGCCGGGGCAGTCCCCTCGGGGCCACGTCCCCTGGGCTCATTCACACTCATTTACACCCCCCCCACACACACACACTGACACACACCCACAGACACACCCCCACACACACCCACACACCCACACACACACACACCCAAACACCCACACATACCCACACACCCACACACACACACACACCCACACACACTCCCCCCACACACACCCACACACACCCACAGACACACACACACAACAACAACCACCATTCGCCACTAAGTGGCGGTGACGTCACCACGACGCTTGTGCCAGGCCATGTGCACCTTGAGGCCACGTGAAGTGTCGAACGCCCGCTGGCAGTTCACGGGGCAGACCCAGATGCCACGGGTCGACTGACTGAGATGACTGAAATGATTGGCTGATGCACCACCTGTGCCCCCTACTGTGCCAACTTGCTGTGCATTAACCACACGGCGCTCCACTCGTTGTTGTGAGCGTCGCTCCTCCGCCCTCCGTTGTTGCTGGAGGGCGATTGCCTCCAACTGCCCAGTAGCGTCCTTCACGAACCTCCTCCACTGAGGCCGATCTTGACACCGCTGGCACCAGTCATCGGCAAGTCCACTCAGCTCCACATCCTCCTGTACCACATCACTCCATCTCTTCTCTAGCCCGTGCCGCGCCCGTTAAGCCCCCTCTACCCGCCCAACACACACACACACCCACACAGACGAGGCACACCGCCACCCACCCCCATTTAAACCACCCATACACACCGACACACACACGAGGGACCTCCCCACCACCATGCACCTCGTCTGTGCCGGCGACTCCTGCCCACCGGAATGGGAGCATGGGAGCTACATCTGTAGGAAACGCAAGCGCACAGGCCCTCCTTGCCAAACACCTGGCGCTACCGTGCGTGTTGCCACCGCGGGGTTGCAAGCATCGACACTGAGAAGTGAACAATTGGCGAAAGACGGGGCCAGAAGTTGAGGATGCGCGTGGAGTGCGGGCTGGTGAGTGTCAGTGGATGCCTGGCTGCTTGGTTGGACGTAGATGTAGGAGCTGATCGCATCGCTCCGACATCCCCACCGGGGTCACCCTCTTGGGTACGCTATCTCTGTCGATCTCTCTCTCGGCCGCGATTCCGTCACCAGTCTCGTCCATCGGCACTTCACTCCTTCTCGCGATGCCTCCTGGCCCAGTCCACCGCCTCTCGTGATCGGCGAACGCGACCTCTGCAATCCGCGCGTTGCGTCTCGGTGCTTTCGCCATCGTCTTCTGCCGTGCTTCGTCGCGCACCGCCCAGGCCCTCGGCGCGGTGGCCTCTGTCGGTCCCCACCCGCCTGGTCCCGCGCGGTCGTCCAGGGCCCTCCGCGCCTCCGGCAGCTGCCCGCGCGACCACCGCCGAGGCCCCGCGCGCGAAAAGTCTCGAGCCTCGCTTTTTGGGAGGAGCCCGCGTTGGGATGTTTGGCTGATTCCATTAATTCATGGAGCGTTCGGCGCAGCGTGGCAGGAAATCGGAACTTGCGGGGAAAAACCACCGCGCGTACAAGGGGAACTCCGGGAGCTCCGCACAGATGGATTAAATAAATGCACTGCCGTACTGCCACCTCGCAGCCTAAGCGCACAAACGCCTGGTATTCCCAGACGGTCTGCCATCCATGTACGAGCCAGGCTGAAACCTGCTCAGCCTTCGAGATCTGACGGGAGGGGGGGGGGGAGGAGGCGCGCATTGAGGGCGAGGTGCGCGGCCCGCCAGTTCGCCGCGGGATTATCAGCCGCGTGAGAGTCGGGATGGGAGAAGAATCCACAGAGGCAGAGAGATGGAGGGATGGGAGAAGAATCCACAGAGGCAGAAGGATGGAGAGCGCACTGGCGGAGAGCCACGCGGCAAGGGCACGTGGTGCGCCTGCCGTCGACCAAAGCCACGCGCTGGCTTATCAGCCGCGACCACCGCCACCCCCGTCCCCTTCCAGCATCTGCATCAGCAAGGGGGCCGCTCTGATCGCTTCCACCCGCTGACGCTGCTGCCGCTGCCGCTGATGATAAACGATCGCAGGAGGCGTCCGCGCGTGGAGTGGGAACAGCGCGAGTCGCGCTCAGGCTGCGCGCGAGACGCCCACACCGCGAACAGCAACACAACAGAGCGGGGACATTCACGAGCGATGAATCGCCACGGACATCGCGACAATTCGGGCGCCGAGCTCCGGGCGGCCACTTCCTGCTGCTGCTGCTGCACGCAGACGCGAGACGAGGACTCGTACAGTGCACTCACTCCCACTGTACGCGGGCAGCTAACCTCGTTAGCGACGACGACGACTATGATGATGATGAGCGGCGTCCCCGGACCCCCCCCCCCCACTGCCCGCCACCCCCCGGGGCGGGAGGGGCGTGGGAGCACCGGACTGAACCCGCGGCGCGGCCACGCGCGAATCGCGAAGTGGAGTCGCCAAGACCCCCCTCACCCCTCCCAAGTAACCCCCGCGCCTCCCCCCCACTGCCTCCGCGTCCACCACGCGAATGAATAAACCGTGGCAGCAGGAGCAGCGGCAGCCGCCTCCCTCCCGTGCACAATTACAACAGGAAGCGCACCCGGCCACTGGGAACGCGAGAGAGAGAGAGAGAGGAACGCAGTGGGGGGCAGCCCCCCATCTCGCGCGGGGCCAGGCGGGAGCTGAGACCCTGCCCAGCGAGGCGCTCTCTGCCCGGCAGGAGGCTCGCGGAGTGGCGCTAACGGAGTCGCGCGGGCGCGCGCGTCGGGGTGAGACGGGAGCGCGACTCTCTTGGGGCCGCCCGTGTGGGTCGGCCACCTCGTTCACCACCTCCTCCTCGTCGTCGTCCCCTGCCTTAGCAACTGCGCCCTCAATTTGTTTTCACCATGTTTGGTGAAGGCGGTGGGGGGGATAGGGTCTGGGGAATCTCCGTCAGCGGAATAAATTATTGGAAACGAATTTGATGAAACGCGCTATGGTGGAGCCACTCATCAACCGCCCTTGGGCCCCTCTCCTCGTCCTTCACCTCGGCCCATTAGCGCAGAGCGCGCGCGGCTCGGGGTCCCCCTGGGGATCATCGGCCCCGCCCGTCGTCGACACGGAACCCCCTCGCGGGCCGCGCTCGTTTCTCTTTAATCGCGCCTCGTCGGAACATCGCAGGGGACGCCCCCCCACCACCATCCCCCCCACCACCACCATCCCCCCTACCACCACCCCCACCACCCCCACCACCTCCCCACCCCCGGCGCGCGAGGCTACTCCAGAGCCGCGCGCGGCATCAAAGGGCCCTCAACTCCGCGCGCACGCAGGCAGCGTCTCTGTGGTGGAGGAGGATGAGAAGCTGGAAAACTCCGCGTCATCCTCATCGGTTTCCCTTGAAGCGGCTCCACTCGATACCCCCCCCCCCCCCAACAAGGCGCGGCGCTGCCCGCCCACGACTCCAGCGGTGGGATCATTACAGCGCCGCTTCGTGCGCTCTCCTTCCCAAACGCGGCGCTCGCTCCACGTCTCGATATTACTACATCCGCTGGTTACCCGACGGGCAGGATCAGCTCGATCATGTGACAGAATAAACATGCGGGCAGCGCGCCCCCTCCCACACCTCCCACTCCCCTCACTCCCCCCCACATCTCCCACTCCCCTCACTCCCCCCCACATCTCCCACTCCCCTCACTCCCCCCCACATCTCCCACTCCCCTCACTCCCTCCCACATCTCCCACTCCCCTCACTCCCCCCCACATCTCCCACTCCCCTCACTCCCCCCCACATCTCCCACTCCCCTCACTCCCCCCCACATCTCCCACTCCCCTCAACCCCTCCCACATCTCCCACTCCCTCCCACATCTCCCACTCCCCTCACTCCCCCCCACACCTCCCACTCCCCTCACTCCCTCCCACATCTCCCACTCCCCTCACCCCCTCCCACATCTCCCACTCCCCTCACTCCCCCCCACATCTCCCACTCCCCTCACCCCCTCCCACATCTCCCACTCCCCTCACTCCCTCCCACATCTCCCACTCCCCTCACTCCCCCCCACATCTCCCACTCCCCTCACTCCCTCCCACATCTCCCACTCCCCTCACTCCCCCCCACATCTCCCACTCCCCTCACTCCCTCCCACATCTCCCACTCCCCTCACTCCCCCCACATCTCCCACTCCCCTCACTTCCCCCCACATCTCCCACTCCCCTCACTCCCTCCCACATCTCCCACTCCCCTCACTTCCCCCCGTATCTCCCACTCCCCTCACTCCCTCCCACATCTCCCACTCCCCTCACTCCCCCCCACATCTCCCACTCCCCTCACTCCCTCCCACATCTCCCACTCCCCTCACTCCCCCCCACATCTCCCACTCCCCTCACTCCCCCCCACATCTCCCACTCCCCTCACTCCCCCCCACATCTCCCACTCCCCTCACTCCCCCCCACATCTCCCACTCCCCTCACCCCCTCCCACATCTCCCACTCCCCTCACTCCCCCCCACATCTCCCACTCCCCTCACTCCCCCCCACATCTCCCACTCCCCTCACCCCCTCCCACATCTCCCACTCCCCTCACTCCCCCCCACATCTCCCACTCCCCTCACTCCCCCCCACATCTCCCACTCCCCTCACTCCCTCCCACATCTCCCACTCCCCTCACTCCCCCCCACATCTCCCACTCCCCTCACTCCCCCCCACATCTCCCACTCCCCTCACTCCCTCCCACATCTCCCACTCCCCTCACCCCCTCCCTCATCTCCCACTCACCTCACTCCCTCCCACATCTCCCACTCCCCTCACCCCCTCCCACATCTCCCACTCCCGTCACTCCCTCCCACATCTCCAACTCCCCTCACTCCCTCCCTCATCTCCCACTCCCCTCACCCCCTCCCACATCTCCCACTCCCCTCACCCCCTCCCACATCCCCCACTCCCCTCACTCCCTCCCACATCTCCCACTCCCCTCACTCCCTCCCACATCTCCCACTCCCCTCACCCCCTCCCACATCCCCCACTCCCCTCACCCCCTCCCACATCTCCCACTCCCCTCACCCCCTCCCACATCTCCCACTCTCCTCACCCCCTCCCACATCTCCCACTCCCCTCCCCCCCTCCCACATCTCCCACTCCCCTCACCCCCTCCCACATCTCCCACTCCCCTCACTCCCTCCCACATCTCCCACTCCCCTCACTCCCTCCCACATCTCCCACTCTCCTCTCCCCCTCCCACATCTCCCACTCCCCTCACTCCCTCCCACATCTCCCACTCCCCTCACTCCCTCCCACATCTCCCACTCCCCTCACCCCCTCCCACATCTCCCACTCCCCTCACTCCCTCCCTCATCTCCCACTCCCCTCACTCCCTCCCACATCTCCCACTCCCCTCACTCCCTCCCACATCTCCCACTCTCCTCACCCCCTCCCACATCTCCCACTCCCCTCACTCCCTCCCACATCTCCCACTCCCCTCACCCCCTCCCACATCTCCCACTCTCCTCACCCCCTCCCACATCTCCCACTCCCCTCACTCCCTCCCACATCTCCCACTCCCCTCACCCCCTCCCACATCTCCCACTCCCCTCACTCCCTCCCACATCTCCCACTCCCCTCACTCCCTCCCACATCTCCCACTCTCCTCACCCCCTCCCACATCTCCCACTCCCCTCACTCCCTCCCACATCTCCCACTCCCCTCACTCCCTCCCACATCTCCCACTCCCCTCACCCCCTCCCACATCCCCCACTCCCCTCACTCCCTCCCACATCTCCCACTCCCCTCACTCCCTCCCACATCTCCCACTCCCCTCACCCCCTCCCACATCCCCCACTCCCCTCACCCCCTCCCACATCTCCCACTCCCCTCACCCCCTCCCACATCTCCCACTCTCCTCACCCCCTCCCACATCTCCCACTCCCCTCACTCCCTCCCACATCTCCCACTCCCCTCACCCCCTCCCACATCTCCCACTCCCCTCCCTCCCTCCCACATCTCCCACTCCCCTCACTCCCTCCCACATCTCCCACTCCCCTCACCCCCTCCCACATCTCCCACTCCCCTCACTCCCTCCCTCATCTCCCACTCCCCTCACTCCCTCCCACATCTCCCACTCCCCTCACTCCCTCCCACATCTCCCACTCTCCTCACCCCCTCCCACATCTCCCACTCCCCTCACTCCCTCCCACATCTCCCACTCCCCTCACCCCCTCCCACATCTCCCCCTCTCCTCACCCCCTCCCACATCTCCCACTCCCGTCACTCCCTCCCACATCTCCCACTCCCCTCACCCCCTCCCACATCTCCCACTCCCCTCACTCCCTCCCACATCTCCCACTCCCCTCACTCCCTCCCACATCTCCCACTCTCCTCACCCCCTCCCACATCTCCCACTCCCCTCACTCTCTCCCACATCTCCCACTCCCCTCACTCCCTCCCACATCTCCCACTCCCCTCACCCCCTCCCACATCTCCCACTCCCCTCACTCCCTCCCTCATCTCCCACTCCCCTCACTCCCTCCCACATCTCCCACTCCCCTCACTCCCTCCCACATCTCCCACTCTCCTCACCCCCTCCCACATCTCCCACTCCCCTCACTCCCTCCCACATCTCCCACTCCCCTCACTCCCTCCCACATCTCCCACTCCCCTCACCCCCTCCCACATCTCCCACTCCCCTCACCCCCTCCCACATCTCCCACTCCCCTCACCCCCTCCCACATCTCCCACTCCCCTCACTCCCTCCCACATCTCCCACTCCCCTCACCCCCTCCCACATCCCCCACTCCCCCCACTC